AATACATATAATTAGCTAATTAGCTATAGTAAAGAATGCAGTTACTGTCATTCAGTGGTGTTTTCAGACTACATTGGAAAGCATTTGACATTTTGTCTGGCTTACAAAAATGCACATTAAATTCTTTTAAAATACTCCAGCCATAAATTGAAGCACTCAGTTTTGAAATCATTTTACGAAAACTGAGCTAGACCTAGGTCCGGCAAAAAATCTTTTGAGAATTGTCTCTTTCAGTGTTACAGAACTACGTTTATTTTAGTTTTCTACAGTTCCTCTTCCCTTGTTACAGAGCATCACAGGGTGCAGCTCTATTAAAATACACACAAGTGCAAACAAAACATACACATCTGTAAAAGCACAGGGATCTCACACTAAAGCACTGCAGGTTTGATTACAATGCTCTTTTCAGAGGATGCAGACCAGAGCCGGAACACTCCTCAATATTGGGCAGCAGAGGGAGTCAATGATGAATAGTTTGTGGCCTGCTTTATCTCAGAAAAGACAAAGGCCGGCTAACCACTGAAAAAATAAATGCCATAAGGACACCTGAAAAGGATCAATAATAAAACCACCCTATTTCAAACTGAAATTAAAATTCAATTTAACTTTCACCAACTGGAAGGACTGTACAGTACAGGGCAACCTTCCAAGGGCGTGTCAGGCACCTACAGTATCCATATCCCAAAAAACAGTCCCTGGTATTTAAAATACTGTAAATTGACAAAATGCAGCTGTGACTGAACTCTTCTCGTGTCTGGATAAGTCAATCAGATCAGTTCCTCTGTGGTCTACATATTCATTCTCAGGGTTATGAAGGTTCCACTGCTGAAATGTTGGGTTGTTTTTTTTTGCTTTTCGGCACGAAATGAACCTCTATTTTTTTTCCTTCCACTTGCAAACTGACACAGCCCCACACTTGACTTGCGTCGTCTATGCTTCACAAGGGTTACACGGGAACAGTCGTGTAGATTTTTTTGCATGAACAGACCCCGCAGCACTCACAATGGCTCGCACGTGGCCCGGCCTCCAGGAAAACTGCGGCTGCCAGTGGCGAGGGCAGCGGCTGAGCAGGAGCAGACAGCTGCCGATAGCCAGCGCTCCAGGAACCCGTGGCTAGGTGCCCTGAGAGGCTGTCACGCCTCTTCAACCGCACTAGGAAACTGGAGGGGAAGTGGTTGCTGGCAAGGGAGTACCAGTTCATTGTCTTTCACTGTGGAAGAATTCTCAGGCCGCATGTGGTGGGATTGGTCCAGGGCCCATGGAGCCTATACAGGCCTGTGGCTAACCAAAGGGAGTGGGCCACGGGGCACCAGAAATCCTTTCTTGTGTGTGCTCGGAGCATGCTGCCACGGTATAAACAACCCCGAATTGCAGAGGTCAGGCAGTATCTGCAAATAAAGACTGCACTGCACAGCCTGGGGGGAGTTTTGTTTTTTCTAGAGAATATGAATAATCAATAGGGACTTCTCCATCGGTCATGGTGAAACAATCAATAGGGATTTCTCCATCGCTCATGGTTAAGGAGCCCATAATTCTTGATGCTCATAATCCGATGCCAAAGTGGAAAATACACCTGCTTTTGTCTTGAAATATGAACAGAGCTAGTAAGTACTGGACATGCTCTGTGGCTCACTTCTTCATCCTATAGGAAACAGCAACAGAGTTCTCCTGATGAACAACAATCTTCTGAATTGTCCGATGGTCAATTACACAGTGATAAATAAAGGATATGTGAGATATATATAGCTGAATAACATATAATTATGAATAATAATAATAACACACTGGGAACTACAGAGTTCCTTATAGGAGAGTGAGTACAGATTAGAGGAATTCTGGGTCTCTCACTGATGTCAATGTACACTCACAGAGACCTTACAGGCCTCAACTTCGCTGACTAAAGACAAAATATTCCCAGACACACTGTGTTCTGGCGCTTGTGGTTACCTGGTAACTGTTCACTGATGACATGAGCCAAGCTTGAATAACACACATCATAAATGGTAGGGCTTAACTGTTGGAGCTACTAAGGAGCCCCAGGATAACGTATTTCAGAGCATTCAAAACCATTTATAATTTGGATGTTGCAGTGGTAGGTCTATTTGATTACGGTGGAGATGGTTGATGTCTAAACAACACATTTAAGTATGTTGCAGATGGCTGTATTCCACAAGGTTGCAGTACAATTGGAAAACTATTTTTGATAGAAACTGGGAGATGGACTGTATTGGAAGTGCTAAAATTTTCAAATAAACAAATTGACCATTAAATCAGTATCTTTAAAGATGGTAGTGTCTACCAGTACTTCACAGCCACCAGAATTCACATCACTGACATCTGTTGTCTTTCAAATGCAAATAATACACTGAAAAAACGAAATTTGTCTTTTCGTTCAGAGCTGTCCCTCCAACTCCTTTACAGAACTTGCCCAAAGGAATCTGAATGTAAGTGGACAACTCACAACTCAGCTTTTCTTTTCTTTGAAATATCTAATCACAGCAGCTAATTCAAATGTTAAAGTATCTCCAAGGCTACGTGAATGTAAAGTTTTTTCTCTTTTTCTTTTTCACTTGGCTGTTAGTCATTTTGTTGATTCCCAAAATGCAAACAAAATGGAGTATGGGCAATGTCCTTTTGCAGAGTCTCTTCTTTCTAAACTCCTGTTCACCATACTTCTGTAGACTGATAACTGCAGACAGTAATACTATGCCTCTTGTAAAGTTGGCTTGTAAAGTATATTTTCAGGAACGTCTGGAAAGTGGATCTGCCTTTACTACAGCATATTAGCACCTGGTTTCAATGTGCACCATGCTTTAAGAAAGGACACAGTCAAAGCAAACACAGCAGGTTTGGAAAGAATCTAGTCACTTTAATTAATGTTAAATTATAACATATGCACCCTTCAAAAGTGGCATCTTTAATATGTTGCACTGCACAGCAATCTATAGTCTCATACTTTCCACATTAATTTGCTTTCTTTTTTCCCCAAATAGCGTTAGACAAACTGGACAAGGAAATATCTGCAGTACAAGAAAATAAAGTTTTTTGTTTGAAACTCCTTTACACTGTGGCAATATTTTTATGCCACAACATTGCATTTTTAAGTAAACTGGTTTGGAACACATAACATACCACACATACTGACTGCTTTAAAACCAGAAAAAACTATTTCACAGGAATTTAGAAATACCAGTTCAAAAAATAAACTGGGTATCTAAGTTTATTAAATTGGCCACTCCTATTACACTGGCCACTCCTATTAATGTAGCTCCTGAATCACAAAAACTATGATCCAGATTAACTAAGATCCTGATTCAGTTCGATTGGATAGTTAATCAATCTGTAGAGCAGTGACTGAGCTATAACAAAATGCAAGAAGGAATACAGCCACACACTGACTGCTATTATATCTTTGAGAGTGTGAGTAATAATTTACCTAAGACTCTTTGGACAATCAATGACTTAAATATTCATCCATAATAAAGTGCTGCATTGTTCGGTAATTCTACATGTCAAATAGGGATGCATCTCTATCCTACACATTGTTGAAGGCCCCAGAGATGGGATCAGATCCTAAATACCAGGTTTTCCCAGAGCACGCTGGCAAGCATGTTGCCCACGAACTAATCATTAACTAAGGGTGTCATATTAAACACCACTTAATTACAAACGCTGATATGTGTAACCTAATCTTATCCAGTAACTTAATGTGTTAAAATGTGGCCCTGTAACTCAGTAACTTTTACACATGAAACTACTACATAAGGCTTAAAAGTCCAATTAAAATGAAGCAGCTTACACAAAATGACTTATATTGGATGGTTTTTTTTTTACGTAATGATTGTTTTCAATCACGCTTTTCTCACTTTTCTAAAACTGCATTTAGGAGGCTTTTTAGTTAATTTAATTAATTCAAAGCATATTAGCATTCCCCCAAGAGGTGAAGAACCCTGTCCCCTTCTTTTACTGTCTGGCCTGGTAACTGTTCCCATAGCAACCAATACAACCTCCACTGCACAGGTCAATGTATGGGAAAGTGTACCATTTTTTATGTGCTCTGCATCTCTCCTAGCCTGCTACAAACTCCAGAGGAAAGAGCTTTATTCAGTCCAAAAAATGCATGTACTGTACATCCATTTTGTACTCAAAATAAAAAAGAATTGATAGGAACAAAATCAATTGATAAACTGATGTTAGGAAAAAACAAACCAGATTTGAGTCAGAGTTTCCCTGTAAGCTCAGAGCTGTGACTAACATTTTGTTTTTGGCAGTAAGAAGGAGTAGACAGGCCCAGAGGGGGCCTGCTCCTGTTTTAGGCATGGACTTGATTGTTTCATTATTTAACGGCCTTTCCTTTTGGTCCAACAAGGTGCTGGATCCAATTAAATATAAGCCTCATGGGCGTCGCATCCTGCTTGTAAATGATAACAGCACCAATTCACAATGTAATGGCAGGATAAAGATGTAAAAGCTGCTTTCACATTCATATGTAGACTGACCAAGAGCATTGTTCATTATTCTTTTATAACCCACAATTAACTGAACATCCCAAAAATACAAGAAATGTTAAAAAACAGGAAAATTAAATGGAAAGTAGTCCAAGACTACTCATTTTCAGTTCATGGACTTCTGATAGGTGAAAGAAAATACTTTTTGAAGAAATACACTTCAACAAACTTTAAGTGTCTTCATTGCAAGGATTCAGACATACAGACATATTAACCTGTTGAATAGCTTTAAATAATCAGAAATGCATATGCTTTAAAGGATTCAAGGAGCTTCAACAAGGCAATCATGGAATCATGTAAGCAACGACAGTAGGACGAGTAGGAATAAACGATACAAGAAAATAATCAACCTGAGGAACTGAAGTTTGCTGAAAGAAAACTGCCCAAACACTTCTGAGGGAATGAATAAGTCTGTTTGGGGTCTCTGGAGCCTGGCCAGCTCATTTATGCTATTTACCCAAACTAAACTGCCCCATCCTCTGACATCGTTACCTTGCAAGGTTGTGGCATGGCCCATGATGAGGTACTTGAGCTCAAAGCTGTAAGAGCGGATGTGCTGCAGGGCCTCTCTTCGCACCGCTGCTTGGTAGCTCTCCTCCATCTTGCGTGTGCAGCAGGTGGGCCCGCCATTCTTGCAGACCTGCAGGTCCATGACTGGAAGGATAAGATGGAGAACAGGAATTAGGACCAACCCTTCACTCACGCCCACACGCACGCACGTGCCCTGGCTAGCTCTGTTGGTAGAGCATGAGACTCATAATCTCAGGGTAGTGGGTCCATGTCCCATGTTGGGCACAAGGTTCTCTAATAACCCATACTGGGCAGCAGCAGCATGGGGCAGTGTTGGCAGTGGAGGCTCATGTCTTCATGACAACAGCAACAAACCTAGCACTATCTGTGAGGAAGAAAGGCCTGGCAATTTACTTCCATATCTTGCCATGAAAACTCTATGGATAGTGATGGGGGAACTATCCACAGGGTTGCCATGAGTCGATACTGACTCGACAGCACTCATCCCACCCCCCACCCCTTCACACACACAGCATCAGGTGGTCACGCAGGAAGTCGGGGGTTTCACTAGCCACCTCTATTAACCACTGTACCTTACCTCCTCCACTTCACAACCATTTTTCACAGTGAGCTGTGTGCCAGTGGACAGTTCTTATCACCTAAGATGCATAGTGTGTGTAAAAGTCTTCATGGAACTTGTTTACTAAACAAGGTACGAATCCAAAGGCCTTTGGAACTCTTTCTCCACATGTTATGCTGATAAGGCCTTTTTCTAGCACTATATCATACCAACACGTAAATTATGAAAGTGCAGTGTTGGAAACCAGCAGTCTGCAACCCCGCCCTGACTTTCATTAGATAAATATTGCTAGCAATGAAACTTGAGTACTGCAGGTCCCCGTAGTCAAAGTAACTTGTGCCTCCCTTTCTGTATCAGTCCCTGAAGACTTCAGGCCTGCTCCCTCGACCTGTCTTAGCGTTGCATTGCTGTCGCTTAATTAGCCAACAAGATTGTGCACAAGTACCAGCTGTGTTCATCTCTTTAGAATGAAGTCAGAGCTGACCTCTGTCCCTGCTCTCTCAGGCTCCATGCTCAGTGCTATCTCTGAAATGAAAATAACACACAGGGACTCTAGCCACAGTTCATCTCGGCCCAGCTAGACTGGAACGAAGAGAAAATTAGAACAAAATAGATGTGGGCTGACAAGACGAACAATCAGAGCATTACATGGAGTTATATTATGAGATGGATAAGGTCATGTAACCATATACTCTCAACAGCAGTCATTACCTGGGCAGTTTCACTACTGGGCTACAACAGGTATAAACATCTATGATCAAATGTGGAATTTAGCTTTGCTATAATAAATCTATGCATGTATGATCTTTTTTGTTGTTTTTATTTTTGTGAAAATAAATTTGGGGGGATTTTGGGGGTTTAACTAAAAAAGAGTTTGATTTTTTTATTACATAAAAGCCATGCTTAGTTCAAGAATCTGTTTTGATTCGGAATAGCATCACTTGGGAGAATATTTATGGTATGCAAAGTCAAGCTTTTACCCAATTATTAATGAACTGAAACATGACCCACATTTCTTTCACTTTTTAATGAAAAGTAAAACCCTTAAAACATCAAAAACTTTGTCAATTTTATTTCTCTTTTTCATGTTTGCGTTTTCTTACCAGATTTATCTCTCAAAATGTTTAATTAGATTCTTAATAGTAGTAAATTCTACTCTGTAAAATCACTCTCACAGTTTTTCATTAAATGCACAGGAATTGTACTAATGGTCCCAAATAACATACTTCCCTAAGGGAGAAATAAGTAGTCTCCTTTTTTAATTAAAGTGGTAGTATAACTCACTTATTTATGTCTTAATGTGATTTGCAATTGACTCTAAAGACAAGGCAGAGCAATCTCTCTAAATCCTCTGACTGGACTGAATTAAAACACAGCAGGCTGTTAACAAGCCTATAAGTTCTGACAAATACATTAGTTACCAAACAATTGTTAACTTAAGGTTTCTTTTGATGGCTTTCACACAGGTAGGAAACATTTCTAGTTTAACTGGTGACACATGCAATTTCTTTATTCTAATTATAATGTCTCTTTAAAAAATATATACAGTCATGCCACAGTTTACACTTCAACATTTTCTGTTTCGCTTCCATTATTTGCAGACATTTACACAGGAAGAAAACTGACTTTTAAGAAAATGACATGTAGTGCAATTAAACTTCATCCATTAATCTGGACCTTAATGAATGCAATATGTAACATGGGACTCACATTTACAGTGTGTTTTTTACTTGCTGGAATATTTCAGGGACCCACACACCCTACACGATACTGAATCACAGGATTATCACTCATTTTTGTGTCCCATTTAGAAATTACATTCTTGAATAAACAGACTTTGTAAATGTATGCACCATACACAGTTTGTTTGTTTTTTAACCTCAGGTCATACATGGACTCTTCTGCTCCTCACACTTGCCAGGTTGAATACATTTTCAGCACAGGTTAATAGCCAGCAGAGCAAGACTGTGGTTTTCTGGCTTCCTGAGGAGAAAGGTAATTACATGGCGGGAATGGTCTGCCCACTCCCTGGGCACTGACATCCATCTGCCTGCAGGAGCCAAGAGGAGCCTACCTTTCCCTCTCATACAATTTTCACTATTAAAGCCCTCAACTGAGCACAGATTTTACTTTATGTGCAAAAATCTGGACGTCACTCTACAGTATATCAGAGCGGCACATTGAGGAGTTAATTTTCTAAGTGTTGGAAGAAACAAGGGATTCTCTTGAAACCGAAGATGTAATAAGATTCAACTACAAGTTACCCAAGGATGGCACTTGGCACTTTTTGTCCTGTAACAATTTATAGGCAAAGGAAAGGGTTTTGGCTCTTTCCCCTGAGTTTGAACATGAAACACACCTACATGCACTCAATCCCATCACTTCTGAACACCAGTGATAACACTATCGTAAAGAAATCCCCAGACACCTAAGCGGATTTCTCCGAGAGGGGATTACACTAGCGAGAGCAGAGGGAAATCCAGACAGACAAGGGACCACAGGCTGAAACTGGTGAAGTGGGGAGGATGTGGGGCCATGGGAGCCTGGACCACTACACACATGTGAAAGCTTCACTTGGCCTGCACACTACAGCACACCCATGAGGTGCTTTTTATTTAGCCCCATGAAGCGGTGTCATGCTCACATCACCATGTCACACCCCTCTAGGGAGAGCATTCAGAACACAGCAGTGTTAAAGAGCACAAGCAACTGCACAGAACTTCAAAAGCCATCCATATGTTCAATTCAGTACAAAACGCTCTAGTGCCTCTGCCCTGTGAAGCTGTGGAAGCCCCTCAGAAAGGAATCTGCTCAGTTAGGATGCTGTTTATACAGTATACATGACTACAAAGTGAAACTGTCAAGTGCCATTATTTAACACACCCTTTTCACAGAAATCTCCAAATTTGACTTTGGAAGTGTGTTTGTGAATAAACTAGCCTTGACGGATCCCACAATTAGACTTGAGATAAGATAATAAACGGGAATTGAACAGATATAATGAAACTGACAAATTCAAACACAAAACAGCAGCATTTAATTTCTAGATGGCATGTTTGGCTAGGCAGGACGGAACCAGAGAAGCCAGACCTTTACAAAATAATAACAGCATAAGCAAGTTACTGATTGATTGTTCATTGATTCTTTTGGTTTGTCAATGTACTTATTGGCCGTGGTACAAACTATTAATGGGACGCACTTGGAGGAGAAGTGGACAGAAGAAGCCAAGGAAAACTTCCAGGAGCTCATTGTGTGAAGCATTTAAAAATAGTTTGCAATCTTGCAAACATGACAGTAATAGAATTCCTACCCTTTTCAGGTTCTTCGTTATAAATGGATTTCCTATCACATTTACAAGAGCCTGCAATTTGTTACACCGCACACGTGCACTACATCACACTAATTTCAGCTAATTGAGCAAATCAGAGGAGATTTTGATGAGCTGGTAGCATTAAACTAGCATTCATCATCCACGTTACAAATAATACAATTATTACACTGTTTATGTACCCCTTCTGTGTAAAACATTTAGGCAAGCAGGATACAAGGCAATAGACTACCATTTAAGAAAATAAAAGGAGAAATTCTATGATTTTTTTCCTTTAGACTACAGTATAATAACGTGTGTCACAAGCCAGCACCAGTCCTTGGCCGAATCGCTGGAAAAGTAAAGCTTCATGACCCACCCTTCTGGTCCTGAATAATGCAAATACAGTTGAGCAAAGCCTTTTCTGCATTCTCCCTCGCCCCTCAGCCCGCAGATCAGCAAAGTTCGACGTGACTTTTGAGCGGACTTTTATTTCTGTGCTCAGAATGAGACACTGCTTTGCTTGGCATTTGATCTGAAATCATTGCAAAATTAAGTCCCCCCCCCCAACCCACCCCCCACCCGTCTTCAAGCCTGTACTTAAAAGAACATGATTCAACAACCCTTTGGCGACTGCATAAAGGAAACAAACAAGGAAAAACTGTGTTGTAATGATAAATTAGCTGTCTGCAGGAGTGATCTCCAGGGGTCTCAGACGATTACTCTATTGGATGGGTATCAGCCACAAGCTTGTCTGCTCAGCGTGTGAAGCAGTGAGAAGGAGGATTCTCAACTCGCCGACTGGTACAGATGCTGGACTGGGCAATGTCTAAGTTTACCTGGTCTCATTCCAGGCTTCTCTGGCTCCGCGCAGTGATGTTCATTATTCAATACACTTTACATTCTTACACAGCGCGCAGCCCTGGGCTGGAGCTCCCAGCTGACAAGCTGCCATCTTCTCTGAAGCAGTGGTTTGTCCACACGGACGCCTCTCTGGACAGAGCACGCTGACCAGAACTCGGGCAGCTTCCGAACACTGACTGATCTTTATTGCGCAATTCTCCTGCAGTGTGAAGAGGCAGCCAAACTATTCTACGTTAAAGAAATGTCTTTGGATGTCAGTCCTCTGGTTTTCATTGTCTGACATTCCATTTTTAACTTCACCAGTTTATTTGTTTCACTCTTTCTTCCGCAGCATCTCTGCAGTCTTGAATGTTTGCAGGGACCAAGGTAATACTTGCAGATAAATGCTGACAAGACAACTGCAGGCGTAGAGTAATATTTTTCATCATACCGTGCCAAACTGTAAGCGCTGGGCACTGTAAGACCAGCACATCATACTCTCTCTAGACAAGTTAACTACAGTATGTTCCTGGCAGTTTACTGCTGACTGTATCCAAAACTGTTTTCGTGCTGAGTTCCAGTTTAACATTTGGGGGTTAAGCAGAGGCATATGGCTGCAAATGAGAATCAAGCAACAAAATCGCATGTAAATACAAAATGTTTCACAGAAAATAAAATCTTTAGATTTACATCTCTATGTTGTATCCCTTTTCTGCTGATCATTAAAGACACAATAGCAATTGTATTCTGCTCTAACTGAGCATAGCAACTGGACTTCTTAGACTGATTCAACCACACAGTTCCTGCAATTATTGTATCTGACTGTATCTGATTTGTATCTGATTTTTTATTTAGTTCTTATTTTCCCCTATTTTCCATGTAATATATCAGTATTACAAAAAAGTGGATTAATATTTTCCTTCCTCCCACATAAAAAACACGACACAGGGCGCTTCTGGAATTTGGCTGAAAACTGTTTTCCAGTATTATGATATCTTAATGCGACCACATCGAAATATTTTTATGTTCACTTCAGTCTGCCCTTACTGGATCGTTCAAGTGTAAGCTTAAAAACTGGTTCCATGAACATTAAATACAGGTTATTCTAATACGCTATAAACGCTTCCAGCACCAGCCTCTTCAATTTTCTAATTTACCTCTGACTCTCCTGTATTTTCTAGAATGAAAAAGGGCATTTTCGTCTGAGACGGATAGCAAAATTGGGGAGGTCAATGGGGGAATGTCTTCTAACTTAACAGCGTCTCGCTTTTCGTCGCTGAGTCTTATTTCAGGTCGGCGGAGCCACTGTCATGATCTGCCACGGTAGTTTTCAAAACTGAACTGACATTTCACGGCACCAAAGAGGACAGGCAGTAAATAACGAGTAAGGGTCTAGGTGATGTTCTTCGCTGTGGATACAAGTTCATCTTGAACATATTGCAAGAATCTTGTGCGTACAAAATTACGCATCAGGGTGTATAATGTCCCCCTTCGGGGTGTCTTTGTTATTAATTACAAATACATTATACAAAAACAAGTGCTGCATTGGAATGCATTGATTTTTACTAATCTTAGTATCTTGTTTTTGAGACAGCCGCTGTCATCGATTATAATGAAGTTCTACAAACTACATCGTTTTAAATGATTTAGGCTGTTTTTCCCTTTCGTTTTAAACAGCTACTGTGTTCTCCAAAAATCGCAAACGCTGCAGCCCAGAGAGAAAATGAGCAAAGTTAGAGAATCACGCAATACGATAACTACAAAATTGTTATGGGAGGGATTGGAAAATGTACTACAACAGAGGAAACCTAGAAACGTGCAGGTGTCGGATACCGAGTAACGTAAGCAGTGCGCGTTTTGCGCGCTGAAGCAAACATAAGATGCAAAAATCTGAATTGGTCATTTGGTGTACTCTGACCTGTTCCGGGGGTTTCGGGTACCCATTTCAAGGGGCCGATGTGGCGAAGCTGAAAGGCTGTTTTCACTTCATGACAGCTGGGTGTCCTTAAAGAAGAGACTTCGGTCAGCAGGGCCACTGCCACCAAAATCCACCAAAAAACAACACGTGAGAATATTCCTCGGGACATTGCACCATCTCAATCCACAGAAAATCCAGGTAATTGTGTAGTGATTCCCCCCCCCCCTTTTAAGTTGTCTTACGTTGAGACGCTGTTTTTGTAAAAAAAATAAATAAAACAAAAGTGTGTACAGTAACTGAAAAAGTCACGGATACGCAACGATGTCTCCGAAAGATTCTCACATTCTTGACTTGAGACAGGTTGAGCGCACAGTGGAAAAAAAGCAAGACGGGTCCAAATCAAAGACTGAACTTCTTCGCGGTCCAGTTTCTGTTACTTTCAAGAGTCCGCTTGCTTCGCTGCTGACATGCTTCCTTGCTCCCTCGCTCTCCCTCTCCCTGTTCTGAAAGTGTTTGAAAAAGAGCAGCTGAGATTATTGGCTTCCTCTATAATTAGTTTGACACTGGGGAACTCGTATTTAAAGCTACACTCACTGCAACAGATCTACACATGTCCCGCAACTGCGTACTGTTCCGCTGCGTTCGGTAAGGGGGAGTCGGAACACGTCCCCGAATGAGCAGTTCACTTCTAGATTCATGTAACTCGCAACGCCTTACTCCCCGAATAAAAAGTATTCAACTAAAAAGTACAAAGCTATTTGTAAATAGGACAGATTAACTATTTAAATAATAATAATAAGAAGAAAACGTCAATGTATTATTTAGTAGCCTGTAAGTCATTCATATATTTTTAAAATTCACTGACTTGTTAACTTTATTATCATATTATATCGTCTTAAATTATCATCAGAATATAATAATCATCTTGTGTCGTATACCCTATCGCAGCTACTAAAAAAATGGTTATCAAGTTTACCGGGACGCCGCCTCGGCGTGAATTCAGTCGAGTTCACAGAAGGGGGTGGTGTTTTGGCGGGGGGGGGGACTTATTTGGTAAAAGCATGCAGATATTTTAGACGTGTGTTCTTGTTTATCCCCATTCCTGTTGTGGTTTGGGTGCAATGCTGTATGTAATGCCCCGCCCCTCCAGATGCGGGCTGTTGTGTGGAGCAGCTTCACCGAGACAGTGTAGTCCGGACCCTTCACACAGGAGCAGGAGTAATGACACAGCTGCCCTGAGCAGGAGACGGTGGGGGGAACCTTTCAGCCAGCCCTCAAGAACAACTGGCATCCACTGAGGCCCATCACAGACAGAATCACCCCATAGCCGTCCCACCAAAAGCAGGGAAATAAAAGACAGATGCTATGAAATTTCAAATATGTTAACAAAAGCCCAGGAGTTGAACTGAAGAGCAGGTAGATCATCAAGGGTGCTTTTATAGGTATGGGACATCGATCACGGCCTCACTGTCACCCCGGGGCTGGAGTTAAAAGGCTTGTAAATTTCTCCACATGATTAGCTAATGGCTGCACAATCAATAATTCCATGTCCCTGTGTATGGGTCAGCTTTGGTTGAGGAACTGCACTGAGTGGGTCATTCACTAATGACTTACAATTGAGACACTGCCTGGAGGAGTGAGAAGAGAACACACCGACAGCCTCTGAAGCTCTTGTGATTGTTCTTTATTCACAGGTTTTCTACTGAATATTTCAGATATCATAAACTGTCCGTCCTGTTCTTATTGACAATGGGATGTAGGTAGAAAACTATAAACTGTATTTAACTCAATACATTATATAATCTGCATTCAAAAGAATAATCACCCGTCCTAATTGGTCAAAGCCAGTAGGAAGTGACTAGTTTTTTTCCCTCCTCTGTTAAAAAAAGAAAAAAAACATTTGTGTACAGCACATGACAGCTGGCCTTAAAGCCTTCATGCTACTTCTATGCATTGTAGAATAGAAGACAATGCTTAGCCCTTCGGCTCTAAAGGATCTTCTGAAGTGGGTTGTCAAGGAAATGACAATAATTTGGAAGAAAGAGTAAATCAAGCTCTCCTCTTGGTTTTCCCCTTTACTCCAGAGATCTTCCTTAGACAGGTCATGATCTTCTCAAACATCCCAAGGGGTATGTTCATACTACAAGCAAACAAATCAGACAGAAGCGAACACGTTTTTCTCCTACATAATTAGATTCAGCCCTGCTTTGTGCCCTATGTTTCTGGGATTTGCTCCAGGTTGCTGTGATCTTTACCAGGAATAAGTAGGTTTCTGATAATAGATGGATGAACACAGGGTTCTAGGTATAGGGCAATTATTTTAGATTACGACTAGAAGAGGTTATTCTGGGACAGCTCATGACTGAAAGTTGGATCCTTGAAAAAGAAAGAAAAGGAAACTCTGGAAGGTGGGTTATTTTGTCTGTTGCACAGGCTTCCAGTCAACAGCTACCCATCTCTCACCAAATTTCAAATACTTCCAGTGGTTGTCTTGTCCCTAAAGGTTCAGAGTTGCTGCAAATTACTGCTCTACCTCCAGCTCCATCTGGATCTCATTTTCACTTTCTTGGCCTGGTCTTGCAGCTGATTGAGAAAATCAATTTCTATTGGAAATGTGAAAGAAAAAAAGTTACATTACAAAAGCAACTGGATTTATGTCTTGTCAATGCTGGAGTTCACACATGCTGAAGCACACACACACACAAAACAATCTTCTCTTCAGCTGTTTGGAAATGGGATGCGCTTCAGCTGAATGTGCTGATCCTGGTGCTTCTAGCAGAGACTCGGGTTCATAAAGTTTGGAATGTAGCTGTGCACACTGATTGCATTAGCCTAATCCCCCAGCCCCCCCCCACCCAAGAAAGAAGATGAAAAATGCCATAGTTTTCATAACTGAGATTTATCCAGCTAAACAGAATCATTTCCCCCCATTTCTTCGCAGAAAGCCTTACTTTACCACCTCTCAGAACAAGTACTGATAAAATGCTTATTTTCAGAGAACAGAAGTGACAGGCTGTTCTTTCTGTCCACAGTCTTGTTAATGAGACAATCATGTTTTTACATGAGGAAAGTACTCATAAGGCCTGCAGTATGTCCCTCTATTTACTGATACTTCAGATCATTGAAGAACAAAAACTGTTCTCATAGGATTCATTTGTACTCAGAATTTAGCATTCATACTAATACTGAGACAGTACTGTACTGAATACTTGATTAACAAAAAAACTAGTAGTCAGAAACAAGAAACAAGTATTCAGAAAGTAAGATGTTTTTTGAAAGAAACAGAACTGTTTTTGCTTCCAGACATTTTTGTTGTTTTCTAAACTTCATAGATTAAACATTTAAATAAAATGGATTAAACAGTTGGAATACCGATTTTCTATACGCTGACTACTAGACGTGTTAAAGGCTCTGTTCACCAGACTTTGTGAATCTTTTTAATCATATTTTAAACTGTAGAGCACAAGGACCTGTGCCAAATTGTCTTTGACAAAGTCATCATATGTCTAAAAAAAGTTGTTTATCGTGTTGGTATCCCAAGGTGTTTCGGCTCCATAAAGAATGTCACTCGGAAATATCCATTTCTGAACAGCATGTCTCCAAAAACCCTACATATCCGGAATTAGAATGGAGAACAGAATATTAATGTTTATTTCTAACTGCTGTTCTTTTAAGTGTTTGAAAAACAAATAGTTCAGAAGAAATCATTGTAGCTAGCTGGAGTCTAGATAAAAGGCGAACCCGAAGATTTCCGGTGTTCACTAATGGAAAAAAACAATGGAAATCTATCAGACATCCCATAGACAGGGCGATATGGCGTGGGGCTTGATTGTGATGATCAGTCCCAGTTGTACACCGCCAATACTACTTGTGGCATTCATTCCGCTTGAAACTTTTTGGCTCAAGTTAGCCATTATTTCATTTAAGTGGTCAAAATAAACTAAATCCTAGGTCTTCAGACATTTGAAGATACGCATAAAGCCACTGCCCTAACTGGGACTCACTGTTACAGATGAAAGGTTGGTAAATTATTCTTTTCTCTCACCTATTCTTTCCATTACACTGAAACACTTATCTACTGCACACTGCCAGACAGAAATTCTTCTCACTGTGGCTTGTGGTGGGATTTTTCAGGACACACTGCCCCCTGCTGACAGTTCAGAAGAAAGTCCTCAAAAGATCTTACAGAGACAAGTCCTGAATTGTAGTAAAAAGTCCACATTCAAGTCTAGGGCCTCATCAGACTGAAGCCTCTCCCTGATTTCACTAGATTTCGGTGGGCCTGTGTATGTTTGTGAGAGCCTGTCACTCCTGCTGGAAAGTGGCAGGGCTGACACACACTCAAACAGCTGGGTGGGCTGGAGCAAATGGGTTAAGAGAAATTGTGTAACACTTTGCAGATGCCCACATGTATAAACATTACTCGTCTCTGAGGGAAAGATCAGTGATGTCTGCAGAAAGGGGTGTAAGTAGTAATGTACTTTATCAAACTATTTTGATAAGGGGGTTACTTCTAAAAGTTGTTGAGAGGTGCAGTTTTCCTTCCATACTGTAATACTTTGAAATAAAGTATTAAGTTATAGTTACATCTGCAAACTGGTGGAAAACCTTGTTCTCACATTCTGTAGTTTACCCCCCACAAAAAAAACAACAACACCCTAGACTGATCTTATTTTTGATGCAAACAAGAGCAGGAGAAGCAGTATCTGCACCAAAGGTAGGATGTAGCTTTACAACTAAAGCAAACCTGCATGCAAAATGTACTTTCTTGGTAAGTTACCTCTAAGAAGTTAAGTTTAAAAGGATAAAAAATATGCTCAGTTAAATCAAACAAAAACATTGAAATTAAACAGTCTAATGTTAAAATACCTAACTGTTGTTAATGTCCCTGTAAATAATACAATATTAAGTGAATTCAGAAATGTTACAGAAATATATTAGTCTAACTCCCTACATGCAGATCTCTTGAATTGTAATTAATCCTTTATTTAATTAAATGTAAGGAGCATTTTCACACAGAATTTAATTCATTACCTCATTTTACCATAAATATGGCTTAGTTACGTAAAACTTGAAAAATAATCTCATGGGGCAAACAAGTTACATAGAACTAGGTCCACTCCAATACTGCAGTTTGACAACAAATCGCCTCTGTGACCATCCCCTGAGGCATACAAGATCTTCAAGTGGGACTCAGCACCTGGAAAATCCCTTCCAACCTGGGAAAGAGAAAGAGGAAGAGGAAGTGCTGACCAGAAAACGACTAGGTGTAGGTGCTGTCCGACGTTTTTCACTGAGGTACATACATTCTAATACAATAGCCCTTGCAAGCTTCCAAAATTTAACATTACTAATCAGAGTTTCACATAATAATACTACAAGAGAATCACTAGAACTGCCCAGCAGCTTTAATCCTGGAGATTCCTTTCGAAATAAAGAAATATGCAGGTCTGTAGGAAAAGGACAAAAAGCTCTGCCCCGTGTGAGGATCGAACTCACGACCTTCAGATTATGAGACTGACGCGCTACCTACTGCGCTAACGAGGCGCTGAGAAGACCACGCACAGTACAGGATATAAATATGTCGCAGTCTTTCCAGAAATCTGTGTTCCGCGTTACAGAACACGGACTAATGGGGACGGACACATTTTTTGTAAATGTCTAGAAGCGTCAGCGAAGTGTTATGTTAACTGCATAAAGAGATAAACTGTACGATTATCAAGATAGTGTTATTTTCGTTAATCGGAGCTATAACTGTTACTTGTCTTAGACCTCCTCGTGTAATATACGCGCTGATGTGTCATCTTTATACAATCCTGTATTTATTTAATTCATGGGAAAATATTAGGAAAGGCAAATGGGTTTTTTAGAGGTCCAGTACATATATGTCGAGTGCTCCATCCGTACAGCGTTGGTGGTATAGTGGTGAGCATAGCTGCCTTCCAAGCAGTTGACCCGGGTTCGATTCCCGGCCAACGCAAGTCTCTTCTTTTATCTCAATTTCTGGGACGGCGCGAAATACACTGTTTAATAAATAAAATGCTGGAGACTTGACTGGAGTTTGCCTGCAGAAACCTAATTACTGTACTTTTTTGTGATGCTCAAAATCTACGCCTAACAGCGCCTCCGGCTGGGGACTCAAATTCGCCACAACTTCACGAAATCGGCTGATGTTCAATTTGAAAAAAGAAAATCTAAGTGTCATATCATTATTCACGTGTATTAGTTAGACCGCGCTGTGTCCGTATTTATTCACATTGTATTACATTTGCATAATGACTACTTATTTCTACAGAACGCATTTGCACTTTGGTCAAGTGCATTTCACAACATCCCTGCTCCAGCTGGGAAGAGTGTCGCCGGCGCGTGTTTCACAAGCGCTTGGATCTTGTGTCTATTTCTCGTTGGAAACACAATGTGACGATAGTTGTTGGGTTTTTTTTTACCAAAATGAAAAATACCACAAGACGATTTGAGAAAATGTCTCCTAAGAACTGAAGGTTGATCCCTGTAGATCAGTCTTCCTTAAATCTTTAACTCGCCTGTCCCTTTGATCTCGCGCCCCAGCCGAACTGCGCAGCGCCCGCGCGTGCGGCCGACGGGCTCCCTTGCTCTCACGAGGCCGCGCGCGGCGGCCGGCAGGCCCACGTGCTGGTGTTCCCGCTCCGTCCTTGACTTTCTGTGTGTCCTGGCCAGGTGGCGATACAGGGCGATACGGGAGCTGTCTGATAACACCCCACCCCTTCCTCCCTTAAAAAAAATAATAACCCTCTTGTGCCACGTTTGCAGAAAGATCTATTAGGTGCTATTGGTTTCAACGCTTACCTCTCTCCAGTCCTCCGTCAAAGGTGTGGCTCCACATCGGCCAGTCTGGGCAAAATGTCGGGGCTCAACGTCTCCTTCGGATATTTCTTAGCAGTCGCAGTCTTGGCGGGGGTCGGGGGACGTCTGCTCAGGCTTCGCCCGCTCCGGCACTTCTCCGCCGAGCTGCCCGCTTCCTTCATGCTGGTGGCCTGCTGGTCGGAGGTGCAGACGATCACAAACTTGGGGCAGTGGGCCGGAGGCTACGGTCCGGACGTCACGTCGACTGTCCTCTTCGTGACGTTGGTGGCTCACGGCCTCGTGTCGCCGGGCGCCTCGGGGAACCCCGCCGTGACCCTGCGGAGCTTCCTGCTCGGGGACGCCTCCGCCCCGGCCGCCCTTTCCGGCCTCGCGGGCCAGGTCGCGGGCGCCTCTCTGGGGCTGGGCTTGGCCACCTGCTACTGGTCCCTGGAGCTGACCGACATGCACCTGATCCAGAAGCTCATGTCGAGCGAGTGCAGCCCGGCGCTGCGCGTCCCCGCCCTGCAGGGCGCCCTCACGGAGGCCGCGTGCTCCCTGGCTTGGCACCTCCTCGCCCTGCGGCTCGAGCGGAGTCCCGAGCTCCCTCGGGTGCTGCTCTCCGCGCTCGCGCTCACGGCGCTCTCTCACGTCGGTGAGTGGAAGAAGGTTTTTTTAAAAAAAAAAAGTTTTTAAGGATACAGTAAGCATCAGAAATGCGAAAAAGGAGACAAAACATTATTCCTCCGGCTGTGAAGCGCTTCTATTTCTGTACCGGTTTCAGCTTTCTTCATGCTTCCACTGTCTTGCCTTTTCATTCTTTACATTTTTAATAGAATTTAAACAGAAAAAGGAATTCCACCTTAAAAGCATTAAGAGAGGGAGCGGTATTTAAAGACCATTTACTTTTGTGGATTAAGTACTTCGCCTAAATAATGAATAGATTTATAATACAAACATATCCTTTATCCAATTCAGGTCAAACAAAATATAAAATGATATCAGAATCTCGAAATGTAACATTTTACCTTGAAATGTTTAACAATACCATTTTGCAGATCGATCCAAGTCCATCCAAACTCTCAATGTGGTATATAGTGCAATCAACAAACGAATGTAACGAAGCTTCCTTCTCGTGATTACGGTTCATTTGAAAAGGTGCGCGGTGACGTTAACTGGTGCACCGGCATTTAAGACGGGGACTCCAGGGAGTTCCCAGAACGGGCATGATGGCGGTCATCGCATTTTGGCGGGTGGTGCAGTTCGTTTTCGTAATATCGCCCGCTTGAGTTTCATGGAAATAAAACGCGTGACACGTGCAAAAGACGATGTGTATGGGATTTTCTCCCCCCCCTGTGTAAACACTCTGGACATGTTTAACTATGTTGGGGTACCTAGTCACCTGTGTGTTTAATTCCAGCTGGCAGCTACACCTCCGGCTACCTGAACCCCGCGCTGGCGGCCGCGCTCACGTTCCGCTGTCCCGGGTTCAGCCTGCGGGAGTACGCGGCGGCGTACTGGCTCGGGCCTGCGGCCGGTAAGGCGCTCTGCGCACCGACACGCGTACCGTTGCGGACCAGCGCACTTCCAGTCCGTTCTCCTTTCGCCGTGTTTCTGAGACGTGGGTCTTCCCACGCCTACCGAGTGTGAAAGAGTAGCCCGAGACGTTAGAAACCAGGGCTCTGGAAACACAGACGACGCCTAAAAAAACACAGCTGATTCCTTACGATTGCCTTGCCTTTATTGATATGTTATTTCAAAGGCAAAACAACAGCCATGCAGAAAAAGTCACCGACTTGATCCCAAAAAACTGCAACTAGAACAGACTTATAGAGCATGATGATTCAATTCTTCTGTTTGTCCTTCAACAATGAGACACCAAACTTAAATACAACAGTCTTACATTAACAATACACTGGTTCCTGAAAAAACAAAACTCAAGATAATTCAGTTAATGATCGTGCATTCCTTTGATCTGATGTGGTACATTTCCTTTTGACTGGAATTGAAATATCTCCTGTTCTCTGGACAGCCCTCCATAGTTTAAGAGGAACCCCATTTGGAAAGCACTGAGAAACCAGTACAATTTATTCATCTTTTTAACCAGTTACCATTGAAAGTTTACACTGAAGGGTCTAAAAATGAACCTCCATTAAAAATAAAATGCCTGATGATCCTGACCAGGCAAAATCTGTCTTGTTTGCAGGAATGGCCATGGCTCTGTTCCTGTACGTGGGACATATCCCTCGACTTTTTTCTAGGAATCTCCTTTATTCCCAGAAGAGCCGGTACAGAGTGCCACGAGGTAAGAGCGCCCGGAAGCGGACAGAGACAGCTGGCACCGCGGAGCAAGAAAAGAAGAGGGAGTGAACGTCAAGCCGCAGCGCTGCGTACAGTGAACACGTCTCTCCCGCTCGGCTGCAGATTCACCTGATCGGGGTTGGCGACTGGACCCAGATTTAACCGGGCACTCGAGGCGGGAGGAGCTTTCCGTATTGTTTCTAGACCGAAACTAAATCGCTTAGGGCTTGCTGCGATTCCAAGTGACAGTATTTTTTTAAATGAGACGTACAGTTCTGAAACTCGGAATTCCTTAGGGTAATGTGGACGTGGACCAGAAAAGCACATGCTGTACTCCGCCATGCAGACCGATAACTCCTGTCGTGTTCACAATATGTCCTTGTACAGGCTCATTGCTGACCCCTGGCATAAACGCAGCACCATTCAACAATCTGGCTTAATCGTGTCTGTCAAACGTTCTACAGGTCAGATGGTTGGAAAAGTCGACCTCCATTATTGACCTAATTCAGAGCTTCAGTGAATTTGGGTGATTTATTAATAATTAACAGTAAGTAAAATAGATGTAAAGTAGTAGGTTTATTCCATGCTGAAAAGAGAAGAAAGAAAACAACGTCTCACAATGTTTTGGCCGTGGAGCCTTCTTCAGGTGTTAAGCTTCTTCATGCTCACACCTGAAGAAGGCTCCACGGCCAAAACATTGTTTTCTTTCTTCTTTTCTCCATGGAATCAACCTGTTACTTGTTCCTTTGCAGCCTACCCATGCTGACGCAGCTGCTCACCTTAATAGATGTCATAATACAAATGAGTGCAAAATGATTCAATGAAGGAAATAAAAGGACAAATAAATGGCACATGCTTTTTTAATTTTAACTTTATTTTGTGACCTCTAATTTCACATAACACAGCAGTATTGTAATGCATGTTGCTCCAAATTAAAGGCAAGGTGAAAGCCGACCTGTTTCAGTGTCAGGTTGCTCCGACACTGGGGGGGATCGCTTATCAACGGCACACCTGAGGCTGACTTTGTTAACCAGTTGCTTCCTGCATCCAGCTGAAGACAGCAGTCATGTAATGGATTGGGAAATCGCAGGTAATGGGGAGAAGGGTTAAATTGTTGATCTCATCACGGTCATGGAGAAGCTGCAGGAGTTCAGACTGAACCACTGTTCTGGCTCCAGCCATCTGCAGTTAGTACACAGCTCTCCCAATGTAAGAGCTAACAATAACACACTGTTGAACACAGCTGAACTGACTCCGCAGCCTACAAACCGAAATAAAAAAGACTGCCCCCATAAATCAACATACTCATAACTATTTTGTAGGATTTGAGAAGCTTACTGGATAATAGGAGAACTCTCGGAGAACAGGTAGATTGTTAAAATGTTTATTCTAAAATTTGAATTCCTCTGACAATAAACAAGTATCTGGTATCCTATCATTATCATTATCACTATTACAGTACTTAGTTCTAATGTTGCAAACCATTGTTACCATTTCTAAATCTTAAATATTGGAGAAATGACTGATTTTAATCTGGTTTTAAAGTATAAAGCTCAATGATTCTGAAGTGTTCAAACTTTTAAAAGAACGATTTACATGATTAGAATACTGAACAGTATTTGATTTACAACAATGTCCTAACTAAGTAAATTCCAGCAAACTCTCTAGAAATGAATGTCCCACTCTGATTCCTGTCAGACAAAATCCCTACAAATTTTAAGTGTCACCTCTTAAAGCAATAGTTTGAAAAGAGTAGTATTTTCAATAACTTAAGTATGGAAAATTAAGCAGGTAAGTAAATCAGTTAGTTTCAAAATTATTTAAAATAAAAGTACAGGTACCATTGCACTAGCTGTCCACCACAGGTGGCCAGTTCTGATTTGACTGAACCAATTCATTTGTACTGATCACAACTTGCGTGTTCACAGTCTTTACAAACTGCTGTTTGAAGAGTAATCTTAAAACTGTGGATCCCCTGAACCAGGGTCAGCTAAAGATAAAGTATTAATCTAGCCACAAACCACACAACAAATAGTTTTACTGTGACAGAGTGTGATTAAGACAAAGATGTGGAGAGCGCAGTTTAGGATACTGCATGAAAAAAAACTTCACTATAAACAGGGGTCTCAAATGCAGGTGGTCAGCCTTATTCCTGGGAAGCCCACAAGTCTTATATATATAGTAGGTTACCCTTAAATCGTCCATTTTTAAAGACATGCTACATGGTGAGTTGTGATCAGTTCTTTGGTTCAGTTGGGTCAGAAATAGCCATTTGTTGTCCCAGCTAACATACAAGGTATTGGAATTGGAATTTTAAATACGGACTAAACCACTTTATTGCACATATTATCTCCTTAAGAAGTCAAAAGGAAATTGTTCAAAGTATTGGGAAATTGAAGACTTGTAAAATCTGCTGGAGTGTTGTGTTCCAGGAGCAGAGCTGGCCACTCCGGGACAAGTTGTTTTGGTTTTCTTTATGTTTTACATGATCTCTGCTTCATAGAGTGTCTAAATATTTATGAAATACATCACTGTAATATTTTAAGCAGGCTCATGTGTTCAAAGAATGTGTTCAGTAATGTGTACAGTAATGAATGTGTTCAGTAACCTTAATAAATGTTATGTGCTGTATGTCTACCCGAGAAAATAATTAGGTTGTTTTGACTACTCAGTTTGAAACAAAGACCTGAAGACACTAGACCCTCAAGGAATTGTTTGTAAAAAACAATAACACATTACAAAAAAGATGCATCATATCAATTTAAAATCATAAATGTATTTAAACTAAAAAAAATGAAATGTAGTATGAGCATTTTTTCCCATGCATAATGCATTTTGTCCTCCATTTTTTTCTACAGTAGTCTTCCATAACCAACACTTTTGTAATATTTTAACTTCACACGCTTGCTCATTGAGATGAGTGGGTAAAACTGTACAAGCAGACAGCGCTGTGTGGCAGAATGTCTTAGCCTTCTGGCTAGATTCAATCTGATCTTACACATTCTACTTAATGTCTTTGTTATTCAAGAAACGACTCCCTTGCAACAGCCTTGCTGCGCTCAGGCAGACTGCAGAGAGTCGCGAGCTGCTCCAGCAGGATCAGGGGACAGATTAAGCTGTTGGGCCTGCAGCAGGGCCGGGATCCTGCCCTGCTTTGCCACTGGTGGGCTTTCCCTTCTGCTGAGACTTTGTCCCTGGATTGTGTTCTGTAGACACAAAGACCCATCGAAGAGCTTGAGCTAAAAATAGGTCAGAGGACACCTTGGACAACACAGAACTCCTAAACCAGAGGGCTACAATCAGTCGCTCTTTAAAAGTTTTTTCTTCAAATTAACTTATTTTGCCATCTCCCCTTTTAGTTGTAGGAAAAGATTTTTAAAAAATGAAATGCTTCTCCTGTGTGCTTCTGTCTTCTCGGGCTACACAAACATTTCATCTCGGATTAACACTTTTTCACTAAAAATCATGGTGGGGGAGGGAATTCTAATTGCAGTCCTGTGCAAGTGCATACTTTATTTTAATTATAGAGTGGTGTGTCGATTCACGAAACAGGTGGGTGTGCTCATCTTTGGTTAATTCAGTCTGTTTAGGTACTGTAGATTAAAGACAAATTTCCACCACTAAAAACATAATGACATATTAGAAACACAATTGTCCAGCCGAAACATTGTGTCTCTTTTTCTTTCAGCATGGAATAAACCTTTACCTGTTCCTTTGCAGCCAACACAGCTACCTACTTGAACTTCCTAATGACATCTTGCCGTCACATTACCTTCAGACTTCAGATTAATGTCTGGTAATGGTGGGATATAATGCTCTCGAAGTCCTTAGTGCAGTAATGACAGAGCTGTGCAGGCAATGTCACCTGAGAGTTACCTGTATTATCCAACTGTGGTTGGTTCTCTAATTGGGCTTCAGGCCGGTCCACCCACAGCTGGTATCCTGGATTGTTAGGGAAACGCTTGGTCTGTCCACAGCTAAGACATCTCACCATTGTCATTCGTTGACGCCGACTACACCCTGAGAACAAAATGAACACTATCAGACAGCACCAATCCCAGTTTATCACTACTGAAGCCTGAGGTATGATGGCACACTGCCCCCATAAGGAAAAAGATGGAATAGTCAGCTGTATAAACCACATCCCTTTAACTCTGACTCTCACCCATAGATTAATTTTGAAATAAAATTAATCCATGAAAGGTACATTTCCGAGATGAGCTCTTACTGTAGAATTGGATTTCAACAATGGATTCCTGGCAGTAAAAAGTTAAGTGGTGTTAAAAAATATCACATTATCAGAATTTCCCATGTTACGTCTGAACCATTTAGATATCATGATATTACCGACAGCAGAAAAAATGTTGAGCAACTCGACTACATAGGGAGAGCATTGTAATACAGCCAGCCCAATACTTCACATAGGATTCAGACCCTTGTGTTTTCTTCATTTGGTTATTTCTTAGAATTATGACTCTGTTCTCTGCAATACAATTAAGGTTTCAGTAGTGTTTAAAGCAATTAGCAGGGCTCATTATCTAGTCTGTAGATCTGACTGTTTTATGCTGTTTTTTTTTGTTCCTATTTCTTCAGGGGTGTGAATACATCTGGAGGGTACTGTTAATGCACTTTGCCAAACTTACTTCTCTGTCTCACTGTTGCAGTTACTCCAGGAACCAGGAGAGAGCAGCATTTCTTGCACAGTGTCCTTTTCACAGAGGGATCCCTGCAAGAAATGTGAACCATCAGGTTACCAAAACAGATTCGGAACAGGCTTGTGCATAAACATTAGTCAGCCTATTTATGTCTAGCATCCAAAGCAAAGATGGGAAAGGTTATGGCTAATTTCATAACTAAATTTGATTAGCATACTTAATCTACGTAATATACTTCAGAGAGTATTTGCCAGGAGGTGTGTAAAATAAGGACATAAAAAGAAACACCTAGCAATACACTAGTCACCGGTACAAAACTGATTTCTGTTCCATTCAGATAAAATGACAGAACCATGTCTGTATGTGGTACTCTGGACAGCTCTTTATCAGGTATTGAAAGGACGCATCTGGCCCTGAGTCAGGTGGATGAACCTACTGTCTCAGAACGAGGCGTTTGGAAATGGTCTTCTGAGTGAAGCAGTAGAATCGGGCCAGTTCCACATTCTCAGGGTTCTGTGCCAGGACACAGTGTGCAGCCTGTGCACAGAGGAAAGGAAACAGTGATACACCAAACGTTAAAAGGAACCTCTTCTCTATATGCATACATGTTCCTAGAAAAATAAAAAAGGATTTTGGAAAACTGATTAAATGTTTTGGTATCATTTTGATCACTGACCTCTAATGATTCTGGTGACTGTTGTTTAAATACTAATTCGACTCATTAGTGAAAGCTGATTGGGCACAGGTCACTGGAAAAGTGATTCAACCTGTTGAATGTTAAGCCTATCGAGAATCAAAAATGAAAACCAAAACAAACCTCACAGCCTGGTGATTGTAATCTGGCCAGATGTTACAACTGAAAACAGCTCGTCGACGACAGCCACGATGTGTGAAACCAGAGGTCATGACACCTCCCCAATCTCGATGAACAATTCCAAGAGTGACAGTCTGGACCAGTGTGTGTAGTTGCTACAAAACTCCTCGTGCAATGACTGATGGTAATCTGACATCATGACTCCTGGGGCTTCACTCACTACTAATCCTATTGTCAGGACATTCCTGCAGAACAACGTGTCCTCTTGCGGATCAGGTAAGAACAACTTTCTCACGTGAGACGAGAAAATTCGAGTTATGTTGTGGATGCCCTGCTCAGCAGGTATGAGCAACACTGAAAATTTGTGAGATAAGCAGACACAGGTTTGTCCACATTCTATGAGAAGAACAGGACAGAATCTCACAAGACAGTATCTGCAACCTGCTGCATAACATGTATCAGAAATCTACGGTTTTCAAAGGTGGTGACACAAGGCTGCAATTTTACAGAAGAACCCCTTTGTTGCGTCTGTTCTCTAAAACATTAGTGCACCTCCTACAAAAAGGTGTATTTCCTGATAATACTTTCTGAATTTGTTGCAGTTATAATGTAAGAAGTTTATTTGATGTTCAGTATACTTCTCAAACACAAACAAATCAACATTATTTGCCATTATCAGTACACCGCCCTGATATAATGGAATAAAATATATTCCTTCCAGAAACTCCAACCAAAAACATACCCAGTCCCTCACTGAATGTATTTAATGCATCAGAGACAAAAGTGAATAAAACTTAAGCCCGACCTATTTTGCACAAAAATGTTCCTTCACTGCAACAGGCTATGTTGGAAAGACCAGATACAGGTGTTGATAAACATCTATAATTTTAGACCAGAACTATCCTTTTGCTATTCAAAGGGGCAATGAGATTACATGAAATCAACATTGTAGCTGGTTCGAGGACTACAGTACTTATTAATTATGAGTTTATTCTACAGTATAAGGTTCCATCTGAATGCTTTCTTGTGGAAAATAGTGCTTGCCAAAGAAAGGCTCTCTTTATGCGTCTCATGTATGGTATATTTTCTATAGTTTTAACCTAAACTAAGCATATCCAATCACACTGTGGCTAATTATCAAAAAAGTGATTTGAAGATATATAATCAAGAGCAGTGAAGCATAGTATTCATATTTATATTTAGCATGCGCATGAGTTTCGAGATATTTGGAGTAGTCAGCTACGACTGAGCACAGTTTGGTCTGCAAATTATACAAAACTGCATTGTAACAAATATAGAAACTGCAGTTCCACTGCCATTCCAGGGCAAAACCATAATACCTGGTAAAGAAAGTTGAGTCTCTGAAAGGCTTCTTTATCCTTGATGTTGCCAGTCATTCTGTAGTTCTGTCTGTGACGCACCAATGACGATCCAGGACAATCTAGGAGTGGATATAAAGCGATCTTTAGTCATATTCTCGTATAAGCAGAACGTAAATTCCCAAACTTAATCTTTCATTGTGTTAAGCGTATTTGTTATATGTGATGTTTTGTTACTGTCATTTGATTCTGAAAACAGTGTGTATTTTATTGTTTTGATTACTTTGCATTCAGCATAACTGGATACAGTATAAGCCATCGAAATAACAATTTTTCTTCTTCAGCAAATCTATTGGATAATACATTTTCAGCGGTGTTTCCGTAAATCGTTTTTAAAGACAAAATCGTTAACTTTGAATTCTCCGAGGTAAACTTGCGACAGTATAACTCACGTGTACAACCGGAGGTCGATCATATATCGCAGAAGTTGATAAAAGTAAGTTTACATCTGTTTAACAATCCAATCATGCACAATTTCTAATTTACAGAAAACCACATGAAAATCAATGAACAACAATTGAAGATGTTCCTAAGATACTGTTTTGTGTTATAAATAAAGTTTTGTAGTGGATGGTAAGCAAATAAGGACACACTGTATAGACAAACGCAAAACGCGTTTTAAAAATGGTGCCAAGGTGGTACTTTGTTGAACGTCGTAATGGCATGAAGGAATTTAATGCGTTGGTAGCAGTCAGCAGGTTAGATTAAACATCAGGTTAAATTATTTACGAAATACAACAACAAATCACAAATGTAACATTAAAATACAAGATAAAAGAACTGGCCCGTACGGGGATCGAACCCGCGACCTTGGCGTTATTAGCACCACGCTCTAACCAACTGAGCTAACCGGCCATGCGACAAACTGGCTCGCTGGTGAGCTCCTTGTTTTTTAAGTTACACATCATATGCATGTTTTTCAAACGATTAATTTATCATGTCGTGTCATGTCATTTCATTTACCGAACCGCTTTATACTGTAACGCCCTCGCTTGGCTTTGCGGCCGAAGAGCGCCCGGCTGGGGTGCCCGGCGAGGGACAGGACGGGAGCAGTGGTGGCCAGGGCGGGGACTATGAGAGTGCGGTGCTGCCCAGTGCAGCTTACCAATGGCGGAACCGGTGTACACAGCAGGGGCGTAGCCACGGGTGGGCCACCCTGATTGATCCTAGTTCTACCCAATCAGTGTAAAGTAATTTAAATATGTTTTTTTCTTTTGTTTGCGTTATATGATTTGCTTTTTAATGTTACGTGTTTTATTTTTTTCTTCTTATGTGATTTTCTATTGGCTCGCGGTATCTTTTGTGGCCAATAAGACAATTATGTAAATATAGTGGGGCGGTGCATGCGTAGCAGTAGCCTAATTGGCTATCGTTGTCGTCAGAGACTCTTAGAGCTATCTAGCGCTAGGTTTTGGGTTTATTAACCAATATGGCAAAACAAATACATATATCTACGTTTTTCAAAAAGCAGCTTGTAGCTGACCAGACCAGTCCCGAAACAAATAAGACACATGAGATGATACAGGCATCTTGGATTTTAAGATTTGCAGCCTGGCTTCCCGAACACAGGTGCATGCGTTTGCTTGTAGCAGCTCGATTCATGCTCGACATGTAGGAGTTAAGCAGGAAGAGGTTTTAAAAATTTCTCCTGTAACCAAATTACAAGTTTTGGAATGCATTAAGATACTATTGACGGATAGATGCGAGTGTGCATTTAACTGATAACTATTCAGATCGCCTCTAAATGCCCTGTAGTATTTTTAAGTGAACGACGTTCACAGAGCTAAAATACATCCAAAGTATGTATTTGACACTTTTATTAGCAGACCATTCTTGCAATTAAAGGTACTATGAATTGGTTAGCACTGTAATGCGACTATAACAATTCAGTGTTGAGTCTTGTTGGAAGTCACGAATTTCCAAATTGGGTGTCTTCAGAACTTAATTTTTTAATACCTTTTTATTCTCATGGCGCCTCACTCGATATTACCCTTGGGGCGATGCATTTACTCCAACCTCTGAAACCCATACGTGCGTGCACGCTCTTCTGGTATGTTATGCTGAAGTCCGCTGAATATTCAACGGCAAGGTAAAAGCTCCGTGAAGTTGCCCCCACTACAGACAGCACAAACGATGAAACCCACCTCAGTCGTTAGTGCTACGTTTGTGCAGTTGAAAACTGCGTTTGTGTTGCTTTCGTTTCCGAGATATAGCGCCTTGTTTTTTCGGGGTCGAGCCTCCTTAGATGTGAATAATACTAACACATGACGCATTCCAACAAGTTAACCATCTATGACATAAACCTAAGGTTGTAACGTACGTAAAATCACCGTGATTGTAAGATCTATAGTTTTTATTTTCTAAGGTACATTTTCCTTTTCTTTCCCTACCGTGACACGCTGTTGCCAAACGCTTAACTGTGGGATACCACCGCGACAAGACCTCCACAGCATGTCATGATAAGGACCACATATATATCGCATGTATATTGCAGCAGTGTATATCACAACTGGCGCCTTGCTTCCATGCCACCCTGTCATCGCTGTCGCAACAAAGGTCTCATATCAAAACATAATATACCCAGATAGGATGTGTCGTGATATATGGGCTTCGTGTCGCAACATGAGAGTGACAGTCTTTGTCATTGTCACAATAAATGGACTCCATGTCGTGACATGGGGGGGGCGTTCGTCATATCGCGATATAGGGCCTTTTATGTCGCGACATGGGGGGTGGGCGTTTGTCATATCGCGATATAGGACCTTTCATGTCGTGACATAAGCATAGCAGTTTTGTCATATCGCGATATGTGGGCGGGGGCGTTTTGTCGGTGTATGTCATATCGCGATATATGGACTTACTGTCGCGCCAGTCGCAATGGCTATCGCGATGTGATCGTGATGCGCGCACTCCTATCCTGACATGCTATTGGAGTCATGAACGCGCTGTGGATGCCAAGACATTCTTTGTCTGCTATTCAGTTTTGACCTCAGTGCGACTTCGCTTAGATTGATTAGTAATTGGAAACCAATGGATGTGTTACTGTATATCCAGCGTGCTCATACAGCACACACTGTTAACCGGGGCGACAGTATTTGGACCAAGAAAAACATCCATCACCTGTGTATCTACACGTTCTCGGAACTTCCGCTGTGGCGCTTTGCACAATCAGAGTGTCGATTCTCACTGAGTGACCTCACCCCCCAAAAGGGCGCTATACTGTATCTCGGGAAAGAAAGAAGCCGGGAAGTTATTTTCAAGAACACAAACCGGCACAAACGTAGCACTAACGAATGAGACCGGTATGGTTTCCCTACGACATTGTAGGGGGGCTGAGTGACGTCACGACCCCAAACTTCACGGAGGTCACGGTAAACCTTGCATGGTATTTTAAATACAAGTGGGCAGCTGCGTCAGCATGCGTAGGCTGCAAAGGAACAAGTAATAGGTTTATTCCTTGCTGAAAGGAGAAGAAAGAACCTGAAGAAGGCTCCACGGCCGAAACGTTGTGTTTTCTTTCTTCTCTTTTCAGCATTTTAAATACAATATTTCGGACGGCTTTTAAATCTTGCGTTTTGCAATCAGTAGCGTTCGGCAGCCCAGGTAATTGTTGCTTAACCCGTGTGTGTGTGGGAGACAGTATATATATATAAGGTTACGCTAATTCCGCTGTTTGATTATACTGCTCGAAGATTGCATTGTAAATTGGAGGGGTGCTCCTATGCTGGCAGGACGGTCAGTTAGAGCCAGGCCCACCCAAAAATCAATTCCTGGCTACGGCCCCGGTACACAGGCGCCAGATCGCCGCGATCTGCCGGACCCTACCCGGCAAGGAACGAGCGACATTAAACTGCAGCCCTGCTTACAGTTATTACAAATCCCATCCCAGCAGACACCGTTTGTATTTTGGCTTAATTCCACAATGGGGTTGCACCATTTGGCCTGCAAACAAAAAAAAATGTTCCATTTCTCCAAACTGTGGAGATGCCGTCTCATTTACAGTTACACATTAACCCAGATGGTTGCTGCTCAGTGGCGGAGAAGTGATTTTCTCCTGTAAAGCGCTTTGGAGTCCTTGAGGGCGAAAAGCATCACGGAAATGCACATATAACACTGTTAATTTTCAAATAAGGTGCTTGTTTCGTCTTTTTAGCTGCAGTGCTGAATCCTTGATTCTTAATTTAATGCTTAAGTGGTGATTTCATTAAATTTCTGCAAATATCATATCCCATGCTATTAATATTTCTTGAAAATGCATTCCTTTTTACGTTATCTAAATTTCTACAAATTTCAGCAAATAAAGTCAGGCAGCAGATGAGAAAGTCATGTCATTTGCCCAACCCTTTATACCATACAGTATTGCAGGAAGCCGGAGCTACCCAGCAAGCCACGAGCAAAAGGCAGGGTACACCCTGGACAGGACACCAGTCCATCGCAGGGCCAATGCAAGCCAATCATACATAGATACTTTATTGATAGATACATTGGGACAATTTGGAGGCCACGGCTGAGGGGTAACTTTGGCCTGGACACTGGGATAACTCCATACTCTTATCGAGAAATGCCCGGGGATCTTTAATGACCACTGAGAGTCAGGACCTCGGTCTAACGTCTCAGCCGAAAGATGGCAGACGAGAAAGTGCTAGTGTAAATTTATGACTACTACCTTGTCTGCCCCGTCTCCGTCATACTCAGTCTGACAAAATGCATTTTTATGCGGCCTTGCAAATCCATGGGTTAAACCAAGTGTTAAAATAACTTAAGTAATAGATTTTGAAATAGATATAAAAAAATCCAGTCTCTTTGGCTACATGGACATTTATCACGCATACTTTTGACACAAAAAGAAAGATTTCTTTTTAGTTTTAGCTGCCTCAGGGGGAGGCTTAATAAACGTTTTCTTTGGAATCTAGTTGTAAATATAAAACTCCAGACATACTGGCCCTCCAGAACGAGGATTGGACATCCCTGATCCCAAACTTTGCTTTCTTCCCTTTGAATTGTGTGTCTTATAAGCTGTTTGGAGTCACTGGTAGGACTGCTGCCTCCTAGATGTCAAGTTAAACAGCATTTTACCAGACCTGTTTTTCATGTTCAATTGGTCTGTTCTTGACTCCTTGCACTTCTAAAACCTCTTACAGTTGAGCCAATCTCTTGAGCCAGGCTTTGCCATTACTTACTGTATATATACAAGTGGTTGAAAGTAGTTTCAACAGTACACCCTGGACCACAGGTCAAGATCTCAAATACCATTTCTAGGTTGACTATTTTATGTCAGAATTACCTCTTTGAAGCCGATACAGTACCTACACACACAGACACCTATCTACATTTTCTCTCACTTTCAAGTGGTAATGTTTGCTTCTGTCCCCGTTGTGTCTTAGGACAGAAGCCTGCATGCCTTACAATACTGTATCTTGGGTGTGACATACCTACCCATTAAAACTGTGTTTCTATCAGTCTCTCTTCCCACTTTTCTACATTTGAACTAAAACTAAAAGTCTAAAAATGTTATGCACATCCTGTTTGACTACAGTATCCAGTTACTCTTTCACTGTACTTGTATAAAAAAACATGTAAAAGAATGACAAAGATGACGGTCTCCAAAAATGTTTTTATGGAACTGAACCATTACTGAAAAAATCCAAAGTTAAATAAAATAGAAAATACATTTTTGGAATAGGCTTCAGCAAATCCACTTGCTTAGTTTCCAGTCTCCAAAATAAAAAATAATATGAACATTTAAATCTTAAATTACTGAAAGAGAGGGGAAGAAAACTTTGAATCCAAAGCTTTTTTTTCTTTGATCTTGCCAATATGAGGCTTTTACTTTCAAAAATGAAAAGTTAGATTCCATGTAAATGGAAATACAGTGATGACCATTTGTCACATCAAAACTACCTAAAGAGAAAACTGCAAATACTTAAAATTTCTGCTAAACCGTCATGTCAGATTGTTAGTTTAAAAACAAAATAAACAGTATACATATACATATATATAAAACAGCTAGTCAAAATGTCCTGATTTCTAGTCTGTGGTTTCCACTTTTAAGTACATAATATACAAAAATTTTAAAACAAATTAAAAAAATCTGAAGGTTTAGCCTCCTAAGTCCCAGTGAATTAGAGAAAGAACTACTCTTGTACAGTAAACAGTTTTTTTGTTAAAAACAAAACAGGAAGAAATAAAAGAAACACTGACAAGTGATGGACTGAAGAGTTAATCCGTGAAGGATTTCTGAGATTTGAGATTCAAGTATTTAGATACCTAAGTGGAACTGGGGAGGGACAGAGAGAGGAATGAGTTTAAGTGAATTTATTTAAAGAGGGAAGAAAAAAAAATATAAATGTATAAAAATTCACAATCAACACTGAATTGGGAGATTTCTGATCAAGTGAAAGCATCACAGGCAAAAATAAAATATATTCTCATTCCTTGTCACAATTCTCCCTGCCAGTTATGAGTACAGAATCCGGCCCTCAGACAGTGAGCTCACAGGAGGTTCATTAGGCCAGACTAACAGCTGGAGAGTAAAAGAAAAGTTCATTAAGGCCAGCAGTGCAGACCTGGTGTCTATCAGGCTGTGTGGTTTTCTCTTTGCGTGGGGAGAATCCGCAGTGAATAGCACAAAGATGAAGGGCTGGGTATCCTCTGGGATGTGGGGGAGTTGGCACATGTCAGCAGTGCAGACAGGCTAGCGGTTGCTCTTCATGGCCTCCTTGGCTGCCAAGATGAGAGGCGTCAGGCTGGAGAGAGGCTTGGCCAGCTTCAGGAACGGGTGCTACGAAGAGGCAAGAGACACAGGGATTCAATGCACCTGGCAACACTTTACCACATTTCCATCTTAAGGTTAACCCCTGGTACATTGTTCATTTGGTAACCAACGTTTCTGGAGCTGAACGAAAATGGATTCATGCACTTCAAATCGGTACATTTTTTGCAAACCTTTTATCTCAATCAACAAGATCCAAGCAAATTAAGAAAAGGTCTAATGACATCAAATTCTATTTGCCCTTAACTCCCGAAGACCAGTTTTTCTGTTGACCAAGTTATAAAATCACAGTAAGTCAACTATAACAAAGATGGCGGTCAGTGACAGTTCATGCAGGAATCAAAATTAATCTTGTTTAAATCTAAAGAGGACTACGACAGTGGTAATTCAGTGACCCGGCCCTGATGTTCTGTTCAAGGCTAACCTGCAGCAGCTCCTTGCCACCTCCTCTCTTCTCCACATCCATTTCCAGACAGCGGTTCAGGAAGTCCCGGAAGATGGGCGACAGCTTCTCTGGGTTCTGTAACTCTGGGGTTCCATTAGTGGCAATTAGGTACAGTGCCTTTTGGAGAAACCAAGGAAAAGCAATTGATTACTGTGTAGAAGTCACTCCCTCACCGACAACATCAGTCTTCCCCAGTATGAATGCAATGCACATTTTGTCAGCTGGTACAAGTCTTAAGTCTGTGGAAAATGAACAATTTCTGACAATTATACCCATCTGAACCTTCAGGTAACTTTTCTAAAATCTGAAGTGGAAATGCAACAATGTTCCTTATGACAACATTCTATTAAAAATGTTTGTAGACACAAATGGCCACTTGTTCCACTTTGAAAGTTTAACCCAATTAGCCCTCTGAAGTACAGCTGTATTGTGTCCAAATGAATCACATTGTGAAAACTAACTACAACAACTGAATTCTTGACAGAGCTCCCGATTCTGGTTTTCCACATGCATAGCCTGGATTCTACAGGTATTTTCAGATGATGCGTCACAGATGCCACTTCAGAGAATGCAACCCGAGTTCTGCAGTGACGGAGCCAGTTGGAGATCTGCTGGGGTTTCACTCACTCACCCTCAGTGGGTTTTCGTTCAGGTAGGGAGGTTCACCTTCTACCATCTCTATAGCCATGATGCCGAGAGACCAGATGTCCACTTTGGGGCCATAGGCTTTCCTCGTGACGACCTCAGGGGCCATCCAGTATGGGGTGCCTACCATGGTGCTGCGCTTGCTCTGCTCTGGAGTGATCTGGGCACAGAACCCAAAATCAGCTGCAGAGGAGAGGGAGATGTTATCAGTTGACTAGTCACAAGGGGGCAATAGAGAGGACCCATTTGCATGTGAAGTCAAAAAGCAAAATCCAGAAATACATCCATTGTGCTAAATATACCAGTACATTTTGAAAGAGGCATGACTAGAGCAAGAAAGCACACTCACTGAGTTTGACAGAGCCATCCATCCCCAGCAGTACGTTGTCACTCTTGATGTCTCTGTGAATGACCTGGTTTGCATGCAGGAACTCCAGTGCTTGCAAACACTGCAGATGAGAGTGGACAGAGGTTACAAATGAGCTTTCAGAGGACCTATGTTCTGGAACTATTAAATATCAACCCCGCATTTCAACTCAAGAAAAGTGAGTTTTGCAGCCTCAAAAAAAAAGCAACGGAATTCGATGATTACCATATCAAACGAGTCGATCAGGTCAAAGCCATTAAATAGACTGTTATATTGCTTTTCTTGCCAGTTTCAAACAAGTTATTCCGATTGGAACTGAAAATGAATTCCTTTCATACAAAAAGTAACTTAACTAGTTATTTTCAATAAAGAATAAAATCTTCATTGCTTTGTAGATCAGGCTTATGTCAAGAAAGTTGTGGATATTTTACCTCTCTGCATACAGCAGCAATCTGGGCCTCATCCATACACGTCTCCGTCACCACGTCTGTCAGAGAGCCACCTGCCAGGTACTCCATCACCACAAAGAGCTCATCTCCCACCAGGAAACTGAAATCAAACAGCTGTCAGTACTGGTGCACCCAGAACTACATGACCGTTCTCCGGCCCAAGATAAGGTTCATCGTTACCAATTCAATGTTATGCATGACAGTGGTGGATAACAAAAACATATTAGTTACCATATGCAAAATAATAAGTGAATACCTAGATTAGTTAGTACAATTAACAGGTAATTAGAATCACGTGGTTACATAAATGGATAAGAAAACAGTTTGGAAAGTCCCGTCATCAGGGCAATCTCAAGAAACATTGCGAGTTTGGTCTTGTAAGAAAGATTTGATGCTGACCCAGTAACAAAACCATTTCTAAATGTACGCCTGCAACCACCCACTGTCATGACAGTCTACAAATACCAAAATATTCAAGACCACAGTGACTGCCTAGGACCTGTCCTGCAAAATACAGAAAGTTACAAAAAACCCTAGGGTCACATCCAAGAAACTGCAAGCTGATCTCTCTGTGACAGTGCTCATAGCTAAACCTATAATAAAAGACTGAACGGGAATGGTTTTCATGGGAGAATAGCCAGGAAGCAACCACTGCTCTCTAAAAGAACAATGCCACCCATCACAGCATTGAACATTCTCCATACAAAAAAACTGACCCATCGTCAAAGTACATATACTGTAACTTTGCTGTAACTTATAGGACAAAGCACTAAGCTATAACTATATAACTTGGTCAAAAACCACGATCAAGATTATCCTTTGGATTTGACCGATTACATGGAGCATGAATACGTTGAAATACTTTCAGTTCATACAATGTTCTGAGTTTGTAATGTCAGGGCAGACTTTTTTTCACAAAGATACAATGAGTGACAGTAACTTGTGGAACACAAAGGAAAAACCCATTCATGACAGACTTCCTACATATTGGGTGTCTTTATTCAATGGCTCAAGATCAGTACCTGTCTAGGAAGTTGACAATGTTTGGATTCTTCAACTCTTTCATCACCAGGATCTCATTGATTATCAGTTCCTTTTTGGGCTGTTTCTGAAGGTTGATCTGCTTAATAGCCACCTGGAAAACAAAAATAATGTCAGGTAAAGTACGAAGTCACAGACATAAGTTATTTTAAAGGCAGGTACAGTGAGGCTAAATATGCATAGCTCTACAGTAATGTACATATTGCTTACACTTTTAACTGTAGCACACTGAAAATGTGTATCAACAGCTTTATACTGGATGATTACAAAGCTGAGTATCAAAAGTAAGTTTCAGAATAGTTAACAACTTACTCAATTACAAGAAAATGATCTTTAGAAAGATTTCAGAAACACTGAAACCAGACTGAAGATGATTTCATTTTCTTGTATAAAATAATACATTCCCCAGTTGTCATTGAGGGCTGGTGGAAATGCCATTTCTGGCCTGTGTCATGCAGTATTTTGACCTAGAAAGGCAGTGCAAGAACTGGAATTAGGAACATGCCAGATGCTCACCTCTTGTCCCGTGGCGACATCAATCGCTGTAAAAACTGTACCTGAAGCACTGTAGAGGGAGAAAGAGAGACTAACTGTGGGCACTGCACTATATTTTACACATTAGGATTTTTCATATAGGTTTCTAAAAGTGATTGGTTTTAATAATGCATTATTATCAATATGAACTATAGTTAGCTCTTTAAACATTTGATATTGTTACTCTCTCCTGCAGGTGTCATTGGCTACATTGGGACTTTTGGTATTAGCAGATGGTTTCTTGTTTTAGTATCAATTTGTAAATACAGCTGCTACCGTTTTATAGGAGGTTATTAATTACAAGCAGCATAACAGTGTCAATTTAACTGATAATTCTTTGCAATTGTTTGTTGGCAGAAATAGCTGGCGTTATTGTGGGCTTAGGGGAGCATGTAAGAAGATGCATTTCAAGATATAAGCTTGATTTCTTTTTTGGTCACTGTTCCTGATCTTTCTTCATGATAGGCACTCACCCCTGTCCAATCTTCTCATATCGAGTATACTTCTTTTTAGGATCTCCAATACTGACTATGGTTCCTAAAATAAAAATAAATTTTCGTTAAGTGTGGAAAGAATATTTAATTAAAAGTAATGGTTCTTTCACATAAATACAGGACGGAGATGTTTTCAAATGTACACTGCAGATTCTCTAGTCAACTCCAAAGGTACTTTATAAAATATTCCACAGCTCCTGGCTTTACAATTCTCACACGGACCTTGGTTAAACAGTTAATATTTTCATAATCGTCTATGCAGTATTTCTATTCACTACTCTAAATCTTACCAGGAAGAAGTTTCCTGACTTTCTGAAACAGAAGAGTCGCTTTTTTTAAGCAAATGGTTATACACAAGCATAACGGCCTGCTGCTGATTGAGCAACTGACTCCTTAAGACTGACAGATTGCAAAATGCTGTACATAGACAACGGTTTCAAGGCTCCCCAGTACCCAAATCCACCTATAAGCAGACAGATCTTCAAGGATAACAAGCCTGAGAAAGGAGAAAGAACCCTACTCAGTTTCTCCATGATCTCCTCATCAGTCATTTTTGCTTTCTTCTTCTGTCTGTCTGCAGCCTTGGAGGCCGAATCCCCATCTGGGTTGACAGGTGGCGGGGGGATGGGGTCAATGACCGAGCGGGTGTAGACCTGGAGATGGCAAGAGACTGGGGGGTTAGGATACACTTATTGCAGAGAGACAGACCCGGACCGCTCATCTGGAATGGCTCCGATACACCCGAGAGGCTGTTAAAGCTGCTTTTCAGAAATGTGATTGATGGCTGCCCTTTTCACGAAGGGATTTGTACTGGTACTGGATCAGACGACCCTTTGTTTACTGATCTAAGACCTCGCTGGATTCAAATTCGACTTCTAATGGATTCTAAGGCAATCCCCCTCATCTTTGTTTCAGCGGCCTAGAGTGAGGGCAAATGCTAAATAAAATGACGTGGTTTTAGAATATAAAGCTCAAGAACTCTAGGAAAAGCTTATGTCAGCTAGGAAGACAATAGGAATAAGTGAGCTTATTAAATATCAGTAGGAACAAACAGAGACCAAGGCTCTCAAAAAGCTGTCCACTATACTTTTGGATGTGCAATGTACGCCACCAAAAGGCTGATTTTTAAATGTCAAAGCTAGAGGCATTCTGAAGAGTTTATAAAGCAACGTACCTGAAACTACAGCCGTAGCAAAGCCCTGCATACTTATTTGTGTGAACCTCAAAGAAATGTAAAACTAAAAAGCGTATGTGTATTTGCCAGTTCTATGGATTTTGGAATTTCAGAAATGCTACCGAGTTCAAAAGAGTTTCATGTTATTAAATTTGCTGTTCTACTGCCACTAAGCAGTCATTTTTAATCTCTCGGCTCTAGAAAGGCTTAAAAAAATGGTCAAAACAATGTGAAGATTTTGGATGGCCTTGTTTTGGGGATAAGGACGTCCCTCTGCAGTGAGCCGAGGTGAAAGCAGACGTGTCATCCACTCACAGACTTGGTGTGCTCAGGTCGTGGAGCCACAATAGGGGGAGGGGTCTCCTCATCCTCATCATCATCAATCTCCTTAAGTGTGGTAGCTGGCGAGGGCTCCATGCCCTTCTTGGCAGGCTGAAAAAGAGACATGAGAAGATTAAGTCACTTCTGTCACTTCAGTACAGCCCCGAATAAACAGGGAAAATAAACCTAGATTTGCATCAATGTATAGTGCATGAGTATGTGATCAAATTGTTTTTTCTCCAGTTTCTTCCACACCTATCCCAATTGCCAAAAGTGTAGTCCTAACCTGGAGAATGACGGCATGTACTTCAACATTGCGTTTTGCTGAAAATAAAAAATGGTGAAGTTTACTCTTTGTAAACTAACCATCACAGTCCTATTCATTATTTTAGAAAGATTTTTTAAACTTGCCCGGGACTCTTCCAGTTCAAAGACACAAAAGAAAATGCCATGCCTGTCAGTTGTGCATAAATGTGTTAAAGTTTGCTTTAATTCATAATAGTTTAGGTGGGTAGCTGTGTCAGCATGCGTAGTCTGCAAAGGAACAAGTAATACATGTATTCCATGCTGAATAGAGAAGAGAGAAAACACCTGAAGAAGGCTTCACAGCTGAAACGTTGTTTTCTCTCTTCTCTTTTCAGCATGGAATAAACCTATTGCTTGTTCCTTTAATTCATATGATCACTTAAAGTGTATTAAATTATTTTCAGACACTGTAGTTTACAGTTATGCCAAGAACTACTGTGTAAAACAATTAAGAGGTACAGAAGAAAATAATCCCTAGCTCTACAGTAAAAAGTCTGTATGCATTTCAATATTAATGAAAAGAGCGCTAACTCAATACTCACTGTCTGTGTTCCTGATGGAAAGCTATCTTTTTCTGTGAAGAAAGAGGTGCAGATTAGAACCAGGCTTTAAATTACAAGCTTGCTTTACTGCTACAGAGGCCAAAGCAACCATGAGTAGTACAATTACACTAGAATTAGAAAAAAAAACGTTCTCTCTCAGCACTCACAGTGAACAATTCTAAACTTCCTTCTTCAGTTCTTCTTCCCTTTCTCTGAATCAGTCTGAATAATGCAAACAAATAACGTGGCTGAACTCTGATGTGTACCCTGTACAGTCCAATTTCTGTTGAGGTTTTTTTTACCTCAACATCCTCTTGATAGTAATTCCACACGAAAAATGAAGGGTTACTGCTGCTCTACACCATATGTCCAGACACCATGCGTATGCATCCTGTGCATCTAGTCTCTACTGTGCCGCTCTGTCCGCCTGAGGACGTCACATCTCTCTGTAGCTGCTGGTCCACCTGAGCGAAGGCCGAGAGCAAGCACGGAGCTCCAGTGGGATCGGATCCCAGCTCTGCATCCCAACACGCGGGCAAAAACAAGCCAGCTGGCCAGCGGTGGCAGGCCCTCACCTGAAGACGAGAAGCTGAGGTATTTTTGCCGGGTGTTGCCAGTGGAGTCGTAGAACTTGAGCACATCCAGGACGGCCTGCGGGTTCTTCTTCTGCTCGGACTTGGTGATGTTTGAAGTCTGCAGAAGCCTTGCCCACTGCTCTGGCATGCCCTGAGAGCAGAGTGGAAGGTGTCACACACTACACACGGGTGGGAGGGCTGAGCTAGGCACACTCCAGAGAGGGTTCAGGACTAGGATCAGAAATCTGAAACATTTGAAACGTCCAGTCTCACCTTATTTAGAACCCAGAAATATTAAATATTCAACAAATAATAACTCTAGGCGTAACGCATCTTAAAAAAAGTTGACAATGGAAGATGAATACAAAGCTCTTACACTAGAATGATAAAGGCGTTGTGAACAGAACTCACAGCCGGTCACGTTAAATTGACAGTGTGATGTTTTGAAGACTATTTGCAGGAATGTTTATTGCAAACCATTTTTAATGCTAGAATCTTGCAACGGTATGAACATTTTTGTTTCAACATTCTCTTCGGAACTTGTTCCCCTAGTTTTGTACACACCTGGAAAAAATCAAAGTAAAAAAACCCAGAGAATATGAGTGAGGCGGGAACACACGACGCAGCATAAAACCAGTGTGTGTGAACTCACAGTGAACTCCCCTGTGACTGCATCAAAGCCCACATGGATAGTGTGTTCGAAGTCTGAGGGGGGTGAAATCTCAGGGCGCTCCTTGTCCTTGTCCTTCTTCCTACCGCCTGCAGTTGATCAACACAGAGCAGCACACTCAACACACTGGGGCAGCTGATCAACACAGTCAACACAATGGGGCAGCTGATCAACACAGAGCAGCACACTCAACACACTGGGGCAGCTGATCAACACAGAGCAGCACAGTCAACACACTGGGGACAGGGTCACGTGTGCCCCTCCACTAGTTCTTCTTTGTTCTGATTTCTTGGAATGCAGCTACAATCCAGCCCAGCAGGACACTGTCAAAGCCTAACTTCTAGGAGCTTTTCTGCGCTTCATCCACAGCCTGCTAGGTTTCCCCATGACTCGCCATATCTTTTTAACATCAGTAGAAAGGTTATTAATAATACTAGACAGCTTCGCTTTACTTATCATGACTAACCTTTTTATTTTCAAATGCAGGGCAAAGATGAACAGCTTTTAATGGTGGAGGCGGCAAAAAGTATCCTATTACATTCCTCAGACATGATCATTAATATAGAAAACACTTTTTCATTACATGAAATTGTAATGTGTGAAGGTACCCCTCCCCCTCCTTAGTCTTCTTAACACAAAGTCAGAAACCTGTGGCTCCTAGTCCACTCTAAAACGGCAAAAAAAGAACCCTGAGACACTGCAGAACAGCTCAAAGTTATTTCAGACTCCGAGGAGAGAGACACTTCAAAGTGAGGACCAGGGTGGGGCGTTTGTGCCAGTCTCCAGAACCCCGGGCCTACCTTTATCTGCAGAGAAGATGGAGATGATCTTGTTGCGAGGTTTCCTTTCCTCGGGCACTGAGGGCAGGGGTTTGGAGCTGTGGTTGGCAGACAGAGTGTCCTTGCCACCGGTACTGAAGATGGTGCTGCTCATTCTGACAGGGGGTGCGGGTGGTTTGTCCTCCAGCTCTCCGTTATCAGACATGACAGGGGGACACACAGGAGGGAGAGAGGGGCACAGAGACCGACCTGCAAAAGGCAGAGAGGTAGGAGGAGCATTAGAAATGGCACTTCAGAGATAATACATTCCAATTCCCTTCAATCTACAAATGCAGTGATGTATATAAAAAAGGCTAGCTGTCATCCTTACAGTTTCATGAAGCACTATACTTCTTCATCACTGAAAGGACATGCTTTGCTTTAAGGTGTCTAGGTCAGGCTGGCGTTATTAAATGCCTCTATGGAAAAGTAAACATTTTTATTTTGTTCAATACCCTTTGTTTATTTGAAAATTTCAAAAAAAGAACTGCAAGACTCTTTACCTTTGTTAAACCCCTAAAACTGGTAACATCTGCTGTTCTCATCCAGTAAACCAAACGCACAAGTGCTCAGTCACTGACACAATGACACTGTATGAATTCTTTTTCTTCTGATTTTAGAGAACGTGAGAATTCAAATTACAGCGAGATACCTCTGAAGGAATGAATCTCCTAACATACAAGACAAAGCCCCTCTACTGTTAATGTACTAAATGAAGAGGAGTGTGATCACAGGAAAATACAGCCCAGGGTTATTTCTTTTTGGCAAGCAGTCAGCATTCCATTGTCTTCAAAGGTCTGCACTAGAGTAGTCACACTGGAATTACCTCCACCCTGACAGGACTCGCAGCCAAAATAATCAAGTGCAAGCTTTCCACATACGCTCTGCTGCTGATTCACAAGACACATTCAAAATATTCACCAAACAAAGGGCACATAATCTCAAAAGGTAACGGTTTTCTAGCAGTGGAGATTCATGCAATTCTTTTCAAAGTTAAACCTTTAGAAGTAAAAAAAAATGAAAAAATGTGATCTAAAGGATCAATCATTGTATCATTAGGTGTTTTTAAATGGTATTTTTCTGAACTCTTGGAAAATGAAGCAGAATAGAATTTCTGAGGTGTGCACGTTTACCATCTCAATCTAATAATTAACTGCTCATTCCCATTTTATTTTATATAGTGCCTTTCATGGTACATTATCTCAAGATGATGTATACTACATTGTATCAATAGAAAAATAAATGGTTAAACACAAAATGTGTTAAGACCAGTTTTGGAAGTGCTGAAAGCCCTTGAAAGTGTATTTTGAAGCTGTATTTTGAATCTCACTCTGAAATCCACAGGGAGTGGGTGCTAAAGAGCTAAAACACTGTCATGCAGTGTTTTGGTTTAAATTAGATCAACTAAGCTCTGAACATGCAGCAAACTGTTCAGAACGTTTGAATACACATACAGCAGTAATATGAAGCCTGGAGAAGCTAAAATAATACAGTAGCTTTTCTGCATTAGACTGGGAAGGATGTGTATGAAGCTTCAAATGGAAGACTTGGGACAAAAATGAATGATTCTTCACCTTAATACTAGGATTGATTCCAGGACTATAAAAAGCAAAACTAAAGCTGACATTTGAGAAGCCGATAAGGAAGACTAATTACCATTACGTATGTCTTGATACAGTTTTAATACCCGTCTTGCAATCATTTTTAATACCATCTAACCAGTGTAACCAGGCAGACCAAAAGAAACCCGACATTAATCCCAGGTTAATTAACTCAAAATGATGCATCGTCAGAGCAGAAATGACGCCACACAAACGAGGAATCTGATTCAGCGGTAACAAATAGAAACCAAAAGGAACTCAGGACACCCAATTTGATCAACTTGTATTTTTTTTTCCAATAAAGAATCAATTTGAGCAAATCGTTTCCTATCAGGAGGATAAAATTTAGAAGAAGTTCGATTTAGAAGACAAGATCACTCATCTATTCAGCAAGATGGCATAATCAACCACGTCACTTTTTGAATTTTGATGAATGAAGTGTACTATGAATTTTGTGAAGTATTTCAAATAATTGCTGTTAATTAGTGTTGAGCAAAAATCAACATTAAATAGCCGTCATAAAAATGGACACTGAATTTGTCAACAAGGCACTGCCCAGGTGCAACCCACTGAAGCTAAGCAAGTGTGAGCCTGGTCAGTACCTGGATGAGAGACCTCCTGGGAAAAACTAAGGTTGCTGCTGGAAGAGGTGTTAGTGGGGCCAGCAGGGGGCGCTCACCCTGAGGTCCATGTGGGTCCTAATGCCCCAGTATAGTGATGGGGACACTAGACTGTAAACAGGCGCTGTCCTTCAGATGAGACGTAAAACCGAGGTCCTGACTCTCTGTGGTCATTAAAAATCGCAGGGTGTTTCTCGAAAAGAGTAGGGGTGTAACCCCAGCGTCCTGGCCAAATTTCCCATTGGCCCTCACCAATCATGGCCTCCTAATAATCCCCATCTATGAATTGGCTACATTACTCTGCTCTCCTCCCCACTGATAGCTGGTGTGTGGTGAGCGTTCTGTCGCACTATGGCTGCCGTCGCATCATCCAGGTGGGGCTGCACATTGGTGGTGGTGGTGGTGGTGGTGGTGGGGAGTCCCCATTACCTGTAAAGCACTTTGAGTGGAGTGTCCAGAAAAGCGCTATATAAGTGTAAGCAATTATTGTTAACAGTGCCTTTGTTTTCTTGTTTGGCTTGTCAGCAGGTCTGGAAGTGACTTGCTACCTACATGCTCTCATTGGTAATACAATGGGAGAGGACAGCCTAGAGCAGCGGAGTGCTCACATATACATTAGGCCAACCCTGGCTGTGCACTTTCCAGCCTTGGGCCACGTCAAAAATATGGTCTACTTTTCTGTCATCCCAGAGATGCCTTTTCATTTTGAGAGCAATCCTACCTGAGAAAAGGTGGCTTTTAGGAGGCCTAGGTCCAGCGTAAGACAGGAGTAAGAGGGGTCCAAGTTAAGTTACGAGCTTCAGAAATCTATTTTGTGGCTCCATACCACTTTAAAAAAACCCTTTTCAGATTACTTCCTGTGGTCACACTTTGCCAGCAGTGTTGCTACTACACTGCACATACAATCATTCGAGCAGAAGAGAAGGGAAGTGTGTACGACATACAAGCCCAGGCCTCACCAAATGAAGGAGTGGATAGTGCAACATGAAAACTGTAGCTCATTCTTGCAAACGGTCCTGAAAATGAGTCTTCTCTGACGCAAAAGACTAACTTGCAAATGTTCAAGGCACCTTTCACCACTCTGATGAACAAGAGCTCTGTGGTTCACATGAACTGTTTCCTTTCACCTGCACAAAAACCTTTAGTAATACATCCCCTCTCACAAAAAAGGGCTGTCTTGTTGGAGATGCTACCAGAACAGTTCAAGCAAACAGGAATGTGGCTGAACGGGAAAATGTGCAGCTTAAAGCTGAAATTTAACAGTTCCAGTGAAAGATTCATCACTCACAAGAGTGTTTGAAAAGTTAAACTTGTCAGCTAGCGTCTAGTATAAAGGCAATGCTTTAAAGAACACGTCTTGAAAAATTTAATGAAACTTACCGTATTGCAAACCAGAAGAGAAAAAAAATAAAGCAGACTAGACCCAAGAAGTACATTTCACTAGCAACTTCAGAAAAATATTGTAGTTTTTGTTTGACTTCAAAAGATCATTTCACAGAATTCTTTTCGCAAAAGTGGTCCAATCACTTTCCAAAAGTTTTTCGAAATATTTTTATTTATACAATTTTATATAGTTTCCCGAAGTTTGTCCTTATAAATGAACTTGGAACTTTTGATTGTCTCTGGGCTTTCCATGCAATCTCACTTCCTAAATCCCCCTGAACTTTAGGCAATTAGCACCTACAGTTCCAGGAAATGGCTAGGATTCTCCAATAAGAAATGTGTACACAAGCTATATACTTTGTGACACCACTTCAGGTTCTTTTCTTAGTCCCATTCTGCAAAACCCAGAGCTCGAGTAACAGTTAGTTCCCAATAGTCTAATGTCCAGTTACTACAGGCTAATAGTTCTCTGGAAATCAAGTGCAGGACCATGACCCATTCTTATAAATTATTTTCTCAGTCTTTCATCTTGAAGTGCCTCTTGTTATCCACTTGTGCCCAGTGGTATATAGTCAGTGTTTGTTCTGAAGATGTTCTTTGGGTTGATTGATCCTTTTGAGGATTTTGAATCCTTGAATCAATACATAATCCCTTCTTTGCAAGACTATAATGGTTGAGTTCTTTCAGCCGGTTAGTGCAGTACATTCCTTTGAGCCCAGGAATTTATCCGGTGGCACTTCTGTAGGTTGATTGTGGAGCAACAATATGTTTTGTAATATAGTGACAACAAATTTACACAATCGTCTAAAATGAGGCCTTCTACATTTTTATGTAACATCAAATTCGACATTTGGACAGCATATTCAGTTTGCACTTTATATTGCTTCCCTACAGTGTGTAGAGAAAATGAAAATAATGTATCAAACACCTAGGCAGGTTTAGGTTTCCTATTAATCACCTTTCAGGAGGTTTGATCAGAAAGGCTTGGAAGACCAGATGTGGAACACACAGCTGACATTTAGAAAGGGAGCAGTGTTCAACAATGTGGAACAGGGGGTTACCCTGAAAATATAGGGCAGAATTTAGCAATGCCCAATACAGTGGGGGGGAGGAGGGTCACGTAACAGAAAATTTAAAAGGCACAAAATCTAAAACTAAGGCCTCAGCTAAACAGACTGTGTGGTGGGGATGTACATTCTGGGTGCCCTTATCTCTGCATTGGGATGTCCCATTGTAACCTACAACAGAGGGAAACACCACTATAGAGTGCTTTCAGTCCCTCTGCAATTATTCCCGATTGTTTCCATATTTACAGATGAAAAGAAACACCTTTCTTGAAACAATATGAGAATAAATACAACAAAATTGAGATTCAGATATTGGAGGATGCTGGTTTATCACTGTGCTCAGATGGATCACTAGGATAATTATCACTTTCAGATGCTCACTCATTAATAGGTCACCAGATGACTGCAAAACAGGATGTCTGTCAGTTTAAAGCATTACTAAGAACTGAAAGACAAGCTTTTTACAGTAACACAATATTCATGTAGACAGAAGCACTAGCACAGATTGAAGTGAAGGATTTCAGTAACTGTTTTTCCTCTAATACAAAACTATACTTTTCACATGTAAAATCAATTTTACCACAGATGCTCCCGAATTCATAAACTGCTTGAGGTGGTTAGATTTACCTAGCTCCATGAAAGAATTGCATTTAAAAGCATTCAAGAAAATTCTGCGACTGATAAAAAGTGGATGTTATAACCACACCGATACACTCATGCTCTACAATGAAAGCCTATAACTAAGGAATAATTACAAAACGAACTGTGAAGCAGATTGCAGTGCAGAGGGTGACAGGGAACAAAAGCGATTTTATATAGTTAGATTCACTCTTTACTGCAGAAGAACTTAACCACTTTGGTGAATATTTTCACAATACTAATTAACAGCCCTGTTTTCGAAGTCTGCCGTGGTGCTGGATTTGGTAGGTAATCACTGCACTGAGGTAGGCCTGCTTTGTGCCGAGTATGAAGCATGAGAATGAGACAGTGACATGCATCTCCTAATAAGGTTAAAGCTCACGGCTCAGTTTTCAACAGTTTGCAGGCCTCTGACCACAGCTCAGCCTCCTTCTCTTCCTCATTACCAACAAGACACTTCCCAAGCCAATCAGGACCCAGGGCTGTATACACCTCTCTCTTAACACCAAGTTGGCTCCACCTTCTCACACGCTCAGAACCCTTCCTTGAGCTGTGGCATGAATGGTAACCAAAGGAAGAGTAAAAAAAAAAAACAACAACAAATCCTGCATCAGCTCTGCTCTAAATGATTCCTCCAAAGGACAAGACTGAACGCTGCTAGGCAGTTTTGCATTGAAGCAAAACCTCATGAAGAATAAAAAGAAAAACCTGTAAATATTAAGTACAAGTAACCTCAATATGTCTGAGTTCTGCATTTGCGATCTTGCCTGTTTTTGAAGAAAGTGTGTCTGTGTGTTGTGACATTAGCCCTTATGGTAAGTGAAATCTCTGCTCTTAAGGACAGTAAACTGAGCAGTACTATACAGTTACTTTATCAACAAGAACAGATGTTGCATGTAAAAAGAGGGTTTAAATCCATTTGAAATTTCTCACATTAAAGGCCAGAGTTCATCTCACTGCCTACTATTTTGAAAAGACCCAGCCAATGTTAACTAATAATCAAAGTCCAAGGTGTTGTCTTGATATACCCGAGACAATGAGAAAGTTCCTTTCTCCTGACATTCATGCACAAGATAAAATTCCCAACTCAGTACTCTTAGGTTTAGTCTCCTGTGAAATCCAAAGAACCGCACCCATTTCACTCCCCAGATAAGCGGGCGCAAGTAATGACGCTGACAAGGGAGCCACAGCCTTAAGAAACAGTGCGGTGGACATAGACGGGGAAGCCATCAACACGAAAAGAGCAAGACTGAACATGAAGACACAGACCAGCTACTGTATGGCCTTAGGGATAATGCTAAACTCCTGCAGAAAAATATCTGCGCCACCTAATTACATACACGCTGGACACAGACAGAAATCAACAGCACACTACGATCCTAACCTACATAGAGAGAAAACCCCCTGCCAGGCCGGCTGAATGACATTTCACAATCAGCAAACAGACGTGGCGCATTTCAGACCTCAGCACACTTCCTTTCTTTCAGCACAAGTCAGCTCTTCTTTTCCAGCGAGCTTTCTACTGCACGGGCTGAACTCATCTCCCAAATGACGGCATCTCAATTAGTCTCTCACCAGGAAAGGGTTATATCACTCAAGAAAACCACTAAAATCATCAGAATCTAATCTCGCCTGTTATCAGACTTCTTTGACAATCTTTTGCAATCAGCTGGGGAAGTGTTGCTGCAATCTTGAAAAGCAGCATTTGGCTGTGGATTGCTCTCTGTGTGGCAAGTCCCAACAGACTTAGCGACTTTAAAGTTTCTCTGAAATGCAGATGGGTCACCAGCAAAATCATTTATTTCAAGGTTGTCTCTGCTGTGGGCTCTCCGTCATACAAATCATACTGACGACACTAAAAAGTGATTTTGAATTTTCACTCCAGGACTTTTTCCAGTCACACTACAATGGCGTGTAAGGAAGAGTAAGCCATATCATCGAAGAACAGGGGTCAGTTTTCATTGGTCACTATTCTTTATCTGCAGTTTTCAAGCCTTTGCTTTTTTGCAGTGATCTACAACATTCGGCTCTCCAACAGGAAAGCACAGTTAGGGAGCTTAACTTCATTAACCACCAGATGTCAATTGATTAAACTGTAACAGAAATGGCTCAAACTGTAACAGAAATTAAAATAAAATGGAACTGAAATAGATCATCACTTAACTGATCACTCAACCGCCAAAGCTCTGTAACTCTCCTCTGAGAAGTACGAACAAAAATCTCCAAATTATATACAAAATGTTTAACAACTATCACATAACAGAGCTACCGATTCAACTCCAGCACCAGTCACTGACTGTCAGGGTTTCTGCTGCTAACTGAAATGGCAGCATGTCAGAAATATTTCAGCCTTGTGAGTACTGGGGAAACACGAGATATAATGGTTCCCTGCAGCTGTCCCTTCAGCTGCTACAGCAACAGGAACACACTCTGCTTGGGTTTAAATCAATTGACTCAAACAATGTTTTTGCTTGAGATCATCTATTCAAGAAATCCTGCCAGGCCACGCCAAGAAATAATTCTCTGCTCACAGGCCTAATCCTGGGACCAACACAGAGCCTAGTGGATCTTCATTCATTTCTTTCTCAAATGAATGTCCAAAACAATGATTTCTCATTACTAGGGTCAGAGCTTTAAAACCCAGGTCTGGTGGATACTAGTTTGTGCTGGTTTCAAACTGAGTTCTTGATCATTTAATGAAATGTGCTCCAGACTTTTTTAGTTTCAAGATCCGCTTCTGTTAGTGTTGAAATTTAACACTAACCTAGAAAGATTTGAAAATAAATGTATAATATGTTAGATTTAATTTAACCATATTTGAAAAAACACATCTTATGACATGCAGAAAAGAAAACACTTTTCAGGGCTCACTCAAGCAGACGTAATGAAACCCAGCAGACAAGGGTTACAAGAACAGTGACGGAGAAAACCTGATTTATGAGGTTAATCTGTCTGTAAAAACTGTAATCCAGGGCTGGAACTCAGAACTTTAGTCAGCCCTAGGCTGTCTATAACAACATGAATAACTGTTTAATACACAGAGCAAGAGATGCGACTGTTTTGCAGTCAGGTTAATCAGCACAGATTCTACACAACAGTGAAAACACTACTATTCACATCGGTAATATTAGCTGTATTACTAGAATCACATCACATCACAAGGTTTTACTTTACCTTTCAGAAGCCTCTCCTGTTTGCACTTACACCCCCACAATCCTGTCAGCTCCACTACGATCCACAATTACTCTGTCCCTCTGCCTGCTTCAGGAAGTGGCAGGCAGACCTCCTCTCCCAGCATCAGGCAAGCGTGCAAGTCTTGGCAGGCTCACAGGCAGAAAAACACAGGCGGATCTCATTCCACTGCAGGATCAAAAGTTGCAAGTATAGTCACGCCTGGCATTGAGCACCAGCACACAGTGCTGCCTTGCTCTTTAGATCCAAAACACTCTTCCCTCCGCAAGAGTGACACTTTGAGAAGTCCGACTCTTAAAGAGGGGTTTTGATGCCTCTTAAAAAGGGGTTTTGATGTGGAGGATACACTGCAATCGTAGCTCTTCCTTGTAATGACATAGTCCTGTTGCTAGACTGGCTTCAGATTGTTCTCCAATTCTCAGTTTTGCAGTGACTCATGGAAGTACTTTCAACTAAACTCACAACATTTCCTCTTTCAACACAATCATTTTAATGCAGAATAAGAAGTTCTGGTCTTCTATGATAACAACGAACTTCAAAAATAAAAGAATACCCGACAATCTGCAGGGAACGTCAAAAGATGTGCAGGTCTCCATCACTTTTAAGTGATACCTGTACACTACAACAAGTGTACAATGCTATTCACAGAAAAAACGTTTTTTTCTGTTGCAGGTGCACCAACATTTCACTGAAACGACATAAGTAAATGTGTTACGCTGATTCACGTTTGACAGAAGTGTTTAATGGGTGTTGGTGGCACTGAGGCACAGTGGCAAGTATTGGCACCCATGGAGTCTGTATGCTCTCCTCTCTTGAGGACGTCTGTGCCGTTCACTGATGTAGAGCCTGGACATTCCTGTCCAAGTTCACTCATCTCTAACCGTTAGATGCCATACTCTTCCCACAAATGTTCGTTAAGGTTAAAGTCCGACGAGTAGGACATCCAAGGCATAACTCACATTTTTATCTCATAAGAAGGCCGTTATTACATAAGCAGCACAAGGATGGTCATTGTCCTGTAGGAATGTAATCGTATCAGGATGATCCTTCAGAAATGGTAGCACATGAGACCTAATTAATGCGCAAGCTAAGTGGTCTAATTATTTGCTGAAGCAGATCAAAGTAACACCTTTCCCCAGTTATTAAGGAGCTGGAGATATGAAGAGACTTCAAAGACCCGTTGGACTTCAGCCTTCAAGGACTAGAGATGTACACTGCTGACATAGTGTTTTAAAACATGGTCTTTATTTTAGGTCTTTAATTGCATACAAGAATCTCACAAAGCTTGAATACCACAGAAAAGTAAGAGGCTTCCATGTGTATCCTACATGTGCATTGATAATCCTGATAAAGAAGCACTCCTTAAAATCACTCCAGAGCATTCTTTGGGGATTGAAATGGTAATAAAACAAAAGCTAACATAACACACCCCAAAAAAAGATCAGACAAACTGATCTAGTGCAGCTTTAGGAACAGTCTGGAGAAGAAACACATACCACTGCTTATTCCCTTAATGCCTGCTTGGATACACCTTTGCGAACGAAAAGCAGCCAAGTAGAAACATGAAATAAAATGACACAGCCAGGGATGGGTGTGCATCTGTCAGACAAGAGAAACACAAACCTACACTGCAGGCACAGGAATTCTTCAGGTCTCGCAAAGGGGGGCAGCGAGATGGATCCACGATTTCTGGCACCATCCTGAGCTGCAGGAAAGCGGTGACCTTTATTGACCCATACAGCCTTCCACCAAATTAAATTATGAGCCTGCCTCCTAACCCTAGGATACACCTTCCACCTCAGTCACTCTCCAAGTCTAAAGCTGTCTCCTAAAGATACTTAAAGTTATGGGGACCCCTTCATGTCACTTTTACCTTATTTTACTTGTTCGAGCAGGTCTTGCAACTATAACAAGGTGGCAACGTTAGAAACCCCTGCGGCCAGGCCTAAATTGTGAGGGAACAGGACAGCAGAGAGCTCCCCTCGCTACAAGTTGTACAAAGAATTTGCTTCTCTGATTGTCCACCCCATCATAGGAGAAGGATCGGCTTCTGAAAGAGATGGGAGAGGACAAACGGGCCTGCACTACACCCTCGTACCCGTCGAAGTTTACAACTTTAGTATTGCTTGTACATTTAGGAAACAAAACCGAGAACACCACAGCAAAATAATCACCCTGCTTAAATAGGTCTTGAATTGTAAGACAATGAAGAGTACGAAGTCAATCTATTGAACAAATGGTTCAGCAGATAATGGTGAAAAACATTTTCACTACATTCAGCATTTGCATGATTGTGTTTGTTTATAAATTATACATACAATCAGCTTATTGCTTCCATAGCAAAGTAAGGTTTCAAAAGAGAGACATTCAGAAATGAAGTAGATCAAATATCTCTCCCTAGTCACTCCTATTTCTCTTTAGCTGAAATGTGTTGTCTTGCACTTGCTTTTGCTTCCAGCATATAACGCCTGCCATAGGAATGTAAAAGGCCAGGTCTTGTGATTCTGAAAACTTAAGACTAGCACGTCCACAGCTCAGGAAGAGTACTTCATAGCTTATGGATCGCTGCAGTGTCAAATTAGGCCTGTATGCTTTAGTCTGTCCTAGCCTATAGAGTTAATTTCTGAAATCTCAAAACAATTCGCGTAGAGCCACGGTGTGTGAAGGGGGTTTGTACTACTTTCCAAGATATTTTGAAATTCAAAAATTGTGACAGGCTGGTTATACGGCTTAAAGCCACCCACAACAGAAGATCCTAGTGACCGATGTTACATTTTACCAACAGATTAACGTTTCGAGGACTCGTGCAGCCGAGAGATTAATTTACCCCCAAAGGTTCAACAGAAGAAAAAATTAAATACATCTCACAGGCAATACACCCTAGGCCTTCATCTCCAGATGTTTATGCAGGTAACATCTTGGGACACCAAGGAATCATTTACCTTTACCTTTTTCTGGAGCAGCATGGAAATTGCATTCTGAATCAAAATACATGTCACAACCCTGAATTCAGTAATGATAATAACATTTAGTGCAGTTTAAACAGGACTGTTTGGTGCAGCAGTACCACTGTTTAGTGATGGTTTGACCAATGCATTTAAATTAAACTGATGCTAGTGGTTGTTGGGGCACCATGGGACCCTCTAATTTACTGTAAGTGGCACCATACTAACAAAAACTGACATTGTCTGTCCTGGGCTCTAAAGCCTTATTAAACCTCCCCCAACGAATGAAAGAGAAGTTCCATTAAAGCACAACAGGTGCTCTACTACAATTCAAACAGAGAGCAGAATGGCTGTAATAATGTCTGAACTGTGAACCCAGGGGCACTAGCTGGAGAGCACTACCGTGTTGTATAGCACCTAGCATCAGCTGCTGTCATCTGCCAAGTTTTGAAAGCCAGCTGCTGGCTGGCTATGGAGCCTGGCGATATGTTCTACAAGCCGATGAAGCCAGCTTTCATTTCCAGGAGGACCGTCTCCCCCCGTGTGCCTGCCACAAAGCCTGCACTAGAGTGACTGTTTACAGGAAAAGGGGACTTTGAGCCTTTGTATTTGCAGCAGTCTATAAAAGGAAATTCTGAACGGTGCTTCCTGGTGTGAGGTAACCTGCCCCCTTCCTTTCTGTCTGCGAGTCCCATTTCCCCTTGGTGCCTGGTGAAAACAGTGCGGTCTCTCTCTCGGCAGACACATGACACTACTACTCGACCCAGAGGCTCCCTGGGCAGTTCTCACTGATGGAGTGTGTGTACCAGCCTATCTGCTGTCCATCAGCTTTCTGCATTGCTTCACACCCGGGATACACCGCCACCAACCCCTCACGTAATTTCCTCCAATTCCTCTAAAAAACATCTACAAGGAAAAAAAAAAATCACATTTTTTGCAATCCATGCCCAACGTTTTACCTCGGCTCTGTGTGGCCACAAACTCCAGGAACTCCCTTTTTTCAATAAAATAATGAAAAGAAAACAGACACTGCCATGATAAAAAAAAAGTACATTGCTTTTTGTTTTCACCAAGGTTACAATGGGCTGGCTGAACAGAAGAGGTTATTCGTTTAACACTACCTATCCAAAAGAAAGCAGGTTCCCTATAACATAGAAATGTACTATACTGTTATGCTACAGACATTCAAGTTCAAGTGAAAAAACTGAAAAACGAAAAGTAATGCAATATAGCCAGTGTGGTTTTAACTGGCAAGTTCTCTTTTCTTAGAGCTCTGGTTACTCCACTCACTGAGAAATTGGGCCCTTCTTCTGAACAAGGATAGTATTTTCAAGTGGGCTTAATTTCAAATCATATATACAAACATTACATCACACCGTGTGTGGGAATATTAACACAGGACAGGCAAGACTACATCATACCTATAACCTGCTTCAGCTGTAAAGAAAATGGCCAATAATCCTATAACTTTTAAAAGCAACCATGACTTTTCTTCTAGGAACTCTGCATACTCTGTGTAAAAAACATTTGGCCAGGTGTGCAGGACATCAAATATGGACATAAAACTTAAAACTGTTTATTCAAAATGTCACTAATGAAAGGTTTTGTGCTGTGCTAGTGGCTAGACACATGACTTTCATAATGAGGTATTCGAATGCAGTGCTGCAGTGTCAAGAAAGCACTATCTGCCAATCTTCTTAACTAAATCTCCAGCAAAACATCAGAAACACGCAAAACAAACCTTTTGTTAAACTAGTTCAGGTGGGTAGCTGCGTCAGCATGCGTAGGCTGCAAAGGAACAAGTAATAGGTTTATTCCAAGCTGAAAAGAGAAGAAAGAAAACAACGTTTCTGCAACATTTCGGCTGTATTTCTCACACCTGAAGAAGGCTTCACAGCCGAAACGTTGTGTTTTCTTTCTTCTCTTTTCAGCATGGAATAAACCTATGACTTGCTCCTTTTGTTAAACTGCACTGAACAGCTGATAAAACTCAGATTAAACAGTCTTTGATCAGTTTTGGGGTTTGCAAGCTGTCTTCTCACATGGGTCACCAAGAATGTTTTCTTTTCTTAGAAAAAAAAACACATTACCTCTCGTGGCTGAACATATACAATTTGGGCCATAAATACTTAACTCTCATTAGAGCTTGCACCTTGAACACCAGAGATGGATTAAAATGTATATGAAATAGTGGTCTTCTGAGCTCTCCTCCATTATTTACGATTTTCCTGTATTAAAAAGAGGGACTGGGGAATGACTTATTGTACCAGTCAATATTCTCGTGTATTTCCACCATCCCGTATTATAGTTCACAAAATTAAGTTGAAAATATGATTAATAAAGTAAAATCAAAGAACTGCAATTCGGTGTTAAGTGCAATGGAAAAACGGATAACATTCATTGTCACATTCAATATTACATTAACTTAAATCAGTCGTATCTTGAGTGTTGTTATAATAAAAATTTTCAATGGTGATACATAAACAAGAGTGGAAGGAAAAATGCCAAATATCTCCACTAAAAAGTGTTTTTAGATTATTTTAAATCCTGTTTGTGCAAATTCACATTGAGAGAGCATACACCTGTATTGTTCTTTTTAGACAAAATAAACTATAACCGATTTTTTCTGCTAAAATAAATGCCAGTGACATTTGTCGTCTGTTAAGTAAATTCAAAGACTACTTGCAACAATAAAATACGTAATGAAATACGAGACTTTTCACCGATTTCAACTCTTCTGTAAAACTTTTTATATCACGTTTCCGACATAAAGAAGCTACCGGTGTCCTGCCAAATATCACATTCATGCAGTTTCTCGGCAAACATAGTATTTTCGAAACTTACACAATCCAATTTATAAAATATACGAACACCAAAGCAAGTTAAATAATTAACTTCAGGACTCACCAGGCGAAACTCTCAGCTCCAAACTTCCACAAAACTCTTTAGATGCTAGCTCCGCCTCCTACGAGAACCGATAATCAAGAGTTCAGATATCGTTTTTTTAAAATACCACTATTTGAGTGCACTCCCCTTCCCAAATTCTGCCAATACAATATCCAAGCAATTTCTTTCTTTTTCTTGCGTTCCTTTTATATTCTTTTATCTTCTTAGACCGGGACAAACCCGCAATGGCGGAGGGGAAGCGGAACTACCGACCCAACCCAGTGTCGGATGACATTAGAAATTACAATCTAATTGCAATCTGTGTTTTTTTCTTCAGGAGGAATTTTTAACGTTTTAACGTGTGTTGCCTGCTCACTGAAACAAACCCACACGTTTGTAAAAAAAAAACTAATGTTCAGAAAACAAAGACAGCGGGTCCCTGCAGCGCTTCGCACGAAGAGCACTATGGGAGATGTAGTTCTCTCTTCCTCTCGTAGCGTTTTCTGGAAATAGGGCGGTGAAGGAGTCGGGACTGCTTTTCCCAGGAATACACAGAAAGGAGTAGTGTAGGATGTATGAAAGGGAATTGTAGTTCTTTCAGAGTGGTACAACAAGTGCAGGGCATGGTTTTAGAATGAAGTAATTTCACAATTAAATCGAAGCAAACTTTATATACCAGCTCCAATATGTTAAAAGTGCCACCAAAAGCATTCCAAACTGCTCTACAAAAAACAACAGTAACGTAGAAACGAATTAATACTAGGCCTGGACCTGCACATGATCATTACTGATAGCACAACACTAGTCAAATAAACATGATTTTTTGTTCCAAGTCATAATTCCCCTATGACCATTAAATCCACTTAAGGTGAATATGATGTGGATTTTATACATTAATGTTACATTTTTAGTATAATGCATATTTTTACTTTTTGTTTTTGTAAGTTTGAATGTGAAACATAGTTGCAAGGGTGCAAAACAATTTTCCCAACAAATGTTACAGAGTATTAATGAAAGACAGGGAAAAAACTGCTTCAGCTTTGAGGCCTTCTTCAGCTGTGAGCAAACAGATAGTTTAATGTATAAAGAGCAACAAAGCTTGACACCATTTTCGAGTTTTTATTTACTTTTCTGACAAATACAAAACTCCCACACTTAAAGAGATATGTCCACCCAATGCAATGCTAACATACGGTGTACACGCCCAAAAGACAAATTCACACCAGATGTAGTGGCTGATTATTCTTAGTAGTGGTAGTAGTTTTGCATATCTGTCATCATTTAAGTTTAAACAGAGAATCTACAAATATAAATATGAAGCTTTTAGAATAAATTATTATACATCAGATCTAATGTTTAAAATCCTTTGTCCAGGCAATCACAAACACTTTGGAAAGTCCCTTTGAGGACCGGGCGTCAGGTCCCCTGGCTGACAGGGGGACGAGACTGGAGGAATTCATTTCTCCACACGGCCCCTGCAAGGTAGCCACAGCTCAGCAGGGTCACGAGCAGGGTGGCAGCGGAAACCAATCCAACCAGTCGCATGTCCCCCACGGGGATCTCCAGGCGCAGCGGCCCAGGCTCCTGAAGAGAGTGAGAAGATTGGGCAGCGAAATTTATTTCAGTTTCCGCACAGACCTGATTTCTTAGTGAGACATCAACAGTTTTTTGTTTTTTTTAAGGAAATCGTTATTGGTAGAGTTCTTGGTAACTGAACCCAAGTCATTATGGCCTCCCCTGGTCAAAGTCTCCATATGAGCGGTTTGAAGCTCATCAAACAGATGCCAATGTTACACCCAAATTATCAAGACGGCAGGACAGTACCATGACCAAAGCACCCGAGACAGTAACTATTTTCTGAGACCTTCCTATTTTGCAGCCAGCAACATATCCCATGCTTAAAACTTAAAAATATCTTAGGAGCACACCCAGTAAGAGAGGATAAACATGCATAGTCATTTCTTAGCCCCAGCAGTAGGACCACAGTGACAGACTGGCGACAGTGTACCTGTGCAGAATGTATCTGCAGCCATCTGCACATGCTGTGATTAAGAGCTGTACAGGGGGCGTCCGTCAGTGTATAAGGGATGAAGTTCGGAGGCAGATCACCTGCAAAAAAGCACAAAGGGTCTGCTTTAAGAGGCACGTGTTTTTCTGTACTTTGAAAATACTACAAAACAGTAAACAGCACAAGGAGTAATGTGCTTTCAGGTACAGGATGTTGTACAATCTTTAAATTTAAAAACTTATTCCAAAATGCAAAGTAAGGTATTAATTCCCACTTATTACTTACTAGTAAGTTTTAAGAACAACCCAACAAAGCACAAAACAGAAATGCAATTATATAATGAGTGAAAGCATTGATTTGTATTTTATATTGTTGAGGAAAAGCACTTGTGTTGTATGTGTAGATGTGTTTTCATCATCAGATGACAAGGCAAACAGGAAATAAGACAATTACCCCAAAAGCATGTTTATTAGTGAGTACGGCTCCACAGCTGAGCCTTTTCTGTAGTCTTCAATTTTCTGTAATTTGATTGGAGTGACCGATTCATATTTTTCTGAAGGTGATAACGGATCATGCATTTATTTGAAATTACTCAAGAAGGCTTCTGTTCCTGCTTTGAAAGCTTTTAACATCAGAGACAGACATGTTATTAGTCTGCCCCTGGTGAAACATCATAAAGGCAAAAAAAACTGCTTTGCAAACTGACACACATAGGTCACTATATCAAGAAGAAAGTGCTGCCAGACACACAGACCCGAGGACTCACAGGAGTCTGCTCGGAGCAGCAGGTGGGGGTTCTCGATGTCAATCGGGGCAGTTCTCTTCCCGGAATCTGAAGGACGATGATAGCGCCCATGGATTGGCACAACTGCCTTCAAGCACACAGGAGATGCAGGGTCCCGTGTGGGATAAACTAGGGCAGGAAACGCAGAAGAAACATACGCCGGGGCTTCCACATCAATTTCTGTGTCCAGAAGCACCTGCACAAGGAGATGGAACCCTGTCAGTCCAAAAGAACTGTAAAATTTGCCACCTGATCTCTTTAAAAAAAATGTGGGGCTTCTAAAAGATCTCCGATATTTAATGTGACATAAATGTACTAAAATAGTTATGCATGGTCATGTTTTTTGTTGTTTTTAAAGAGAGTCTTAATCATTTGGCATTTTTAAATCGCTCAATTAACTAGCACTAACCCCCAAGGCATTTTTATGAAATCACCTGACATGAGCTCACCTACCTTATGCAAGAAACTACTGTCCTTAAAATGAAATGAATGCATGTGCCCAAAAGAACTGCTGGTGTAAAACTCAGACCGTGACAGGCACAGCAAAAAAAGTTACAAGCAGAGGTTAATTCCACTCTGAAAAGTAAAACAAAACAGGAAAAGATTTTGGCTGTGGAGGTTTCTTTAGACTTGGCTCTACCTCTCCCCCACCCTAAAAAGAGGCTTCACAGATTACGTTTTTTTTTTCTTTTGTTTCAAAAAGACTAAAAAATTCAAGCAATAGCTTCCTTGTAATGTTGAAATGGAGGGGAAAGAAGATGAAACTTCAGACTAGTACCAGGAGAAAGAAAATCCTCTATACTCCGTATTTGGTGCAGCAAGTTGTGGTTACCATGGTGTGATCCTACTCTCACTACTCCTGTAGTGCCTGTTACCTGTAAGCCAGTGTCGTGTTGTTCTGATGTTAGCTGGTAAGGGTCAATGTAGATTCCTTTGGGAAGCCTCTCCACCAGCAGGAAATGCAGGTTTTTGGGAGACCCCAGGCCACAGCATACACTGGTCACAAGCTCCCTAAATATAGAGCCACAGACTTCAATATTTCACACATATTGCTTACTGAAACTGAGCCATAATGCCCACGGCACATTAATGAAACAGCATGACTAAATCTCACTTCCCTGCTCACAATACAGGTGGCTCACAATACAGCACTGTGTTGTTGTGTTTATAGGCAACTGAAAGATGTATTTCCACAATAAGCAATCACCTGTGAAAACCATTTTTCCTGAGTTCCCTTGACACTGTGAGTGATTCCAGCCATTCCCTTGTGAAGCCACATCTTTCTTCTCCTGCAAAACAGACATCCAGTTACATACCCCAAAACCCCATGTTAAAAAGTTCAAATTAATTTCTGTTTACAATCTTTTATGCTAAGAAGCAGGTGATCAAAGTGTATGAGCTTATCTGTGTATCAAGGTGTATCACTTTGAATATAATATTTAAAACTGCTTCCCAGTAGGTAAATACAAATAAACTTAAATACTGTCAATGCATTCACTGCAAATGTGAAAACAAATGCTGTCAAATTCATGTCCTGTGAAATCAGTTCACTTGGCTGTTCAATCTACTGGATTTTTAATAATACCAGAAATGTAACTAAAATTGGGGAAAAAAAGCGAGAACATTCAATCGATTTATAACTACAATTTGAGTAACACGTAGACTATATTCTTGGGGCAGAATTAATCCAGATCAGACGGTATAATTAACTCAGACTCAGCGTCTCAGGAACAAAAGAATTCACTTCTCGATTTCAAATACAACGTTAGCGTCTTGAAACACGTCAATTGGAACTGCGATCTGTCGTGTTTTTAAAGAGCCTTCAATGAACTTCTGTTAAAAATCATACACATGCGGGTTCTCTTTACAAGGTACAAAAAACATTAGGATTCATTTGAATAATTGGTCGTTGCTAAAATGTTAAATGTTATGTATAGACTAAGTACCATGATCGTGTTTATTAGTAGCAGAATTTCCCGATATTTATACTGAATATTATATTTCATCGTCTCTCCATGACCTCGCTCTTTTTCTGACTACCGAGTCTGATTATCTTGTTGCCAAAAAAAAGTGAATTTACCTGACTGTAAATCTGCTTTAAGGAGCGCTGGAGCTAAAATAAATGCAATTAAATAAACTATTCTCATGGCGTATACATATTCACGAAAATAAACGATAAACGACAAGTAAGGGAAAACACAAAAAATGTTCTATTAAACACTGTCATCCCGGAAAAGAATTGCATCAAACTTGACAAACAAGCGCTGCGACCACGACACACACTAAAAAAAGCGATCTGCGCAAAATTTGCTGGATTCTTCTGCAAATCTGCACAAGTGCGACGGCTGCGTGAACCCAGACGGCACAAATGCCTTCGGATCACGCGTCCTCTGGCTGAAGATACTGCGCAGCCGCGCAGCCGCTCGACAGGCACTGCGCTGCTGCAGCTGCGGATTAGAAACAACCGAGGAGCAGTGGCGACAAAGACATGTATATGTAGCAGGATAAAAATCCCCATTGCACCTTTTTAGCGCCACCTAGGCAGGGGGTGTAAAACGCCTGAGAATGAAGATATCAATTCGTTACAATATATAAAAGCACGTATTACAGGTGGGCAGGTTTATTCCATGCTGAAAAGAGAAGAAAGGAAACACAACGTTTCGGCTGTGGAGCCTTCTTCTTCTTTCAGCATGGAATAATCCTATTATTTGTTCCTTAGTACTTATTATGTATGATTATATAATATCAATATAATATTATTAATAAATAACAACATATTTTATTATTAATGGTATATATTAATTCTATGCAACATTAATTATGTACATTATATAACATTCATGTATTATATTAATGTATTCATGGGTGCGCAACAGCAATGTTTTCCTTGTATGTAATACAAGCGTAAATTGTATTTACAAAGACATGATCTCTTAAGTGTTTGTCAATGCACGAGTTTAATATAGACAGGTATAATATAGATTAGAATACACCTATTTTATTATATGTAATGCAAAATATGTTGTAAAAGAATGTCAGAGGGTGGTAGAACAATCATATAAGCTGGTGGAATATCCACAGATGTGTGTAACTGTGAAGTGGATTATAAAAACATTTGCGCAGTGCACCACTGCAAGCTACTGTACACACTGGAAAGAGCAGCAATTCAGCCGACACAACTCAGAAAACTCAGATTTCTTAGTCCCGTCCGAAATGAAGGGATTAGCTCCAAACGACATTTCTAGTAATTTCTTATTTGAAGTTTCTTGTACATTCCTGACCTCAAATCTATTTCCCTTATACTTTCAGACCAGTCGTCTGATAGCAGGTTCCCGCTGTGTAATTCTGAGGAAGTGTAACCTAGAATCTGATATTCCCATGACTGCTTACAAGTTCTTATCGCATAGCGTGACAGGTTCAATTAATGTATATTCGATTCTGACCATGCTGGGTCATTTCAGAAGCACTGGAGGCCGATACCGAAGTCCAAACAAAACGTGTTTATGAAGACTGCAGGTCAGCGGGGTGGCATAGTGGTCAGCCCTGCTAGCCCACAGTGCTAGGGCCCTGGTTTCCGTTCCTGGGGCGCTATGTGCATGGAGTTTGTATGTTCTGCCCCTGTTCGCATGGGTTTCCTCCGGGGGCTCTGTGGCACGACATGGGGAGCACTGGATAAGCGCTCCCTGTCAGCACCGACTGGGCCTCCACCCTTATTCAGGTGTTGCGAATGATCCAACCAGCCACTGGACCGGCTCTCCGAGTCCTTCAACTGAACGCCGGGGGTCTCTCGGCAGCAAAACAAACTCTCAGTGACTCTCCAGGTGGGAGAAAGGTGCCGTGGACACAGCCAGAATCCGTACAGACATTTACCCCTCAGCTGGCATCCGAACACAGCTAAAGAAATAGCACATTACTCTTGCGAAAGCTGACCCTGAAATGCTTTTGCCTTTTTTTTTCTGAGGTCTCTCTGCACGTCTGCGCCCTCTTCAGGTTTGGAGGGATTGAGCCTGGGCGATTTTACAGTAGCATTTCCTGCTTGTGTTGCCACGCGTCTTTTAGAAGAGTAAATTATTAACAAGGTGAGATTTATATTTCAAAAGTATCATCACACGTTAACTAGCAATAAACTGTTGATCATTTACAAACATTTGCATCGTAATTTTTGTTTCGCCTGTTCTTGTTTTCAATAATTCGACGCACGTTTTTAATTTTTCTAAAGGTGTTGATAAACAAGCACTACGGACTGTGGTGTCCACTGAACAATACAGCAATGTTTCTAAAATGCGGATACATTGTTGTCGGGGAAAAACCGTGAATTGTTCGCGGCTGGTTTTGTATAGGACCTTGGGACTTAATGTAGATTGCTGTAGTAATATCACTTGACTGTAGCAGCATCAATGTTTTTTGAACACCGTCTTTTTTGTCTCAGTCTGACTTATACGTTATTTCATTGCTGAAGTGAAACGTAAAACGTTAAATAATAGTCTTTATATAACTGATTTCATTAGATAAAATCATGTGTCAATAAAAACCTCATCATACTGAGAAAATAACATAAATGCTAATTATTAAAAGTAATGAGTTGAACACTGGCAAATTTGTCTTTTTTATTTGTATGATTGATATCATTTGTGTTTTGGGTATTTACCCTTCTGACTGATTAAATCGCCATTAAATTAAATGATGACATTAAATTACCCTTCCAAGCGATTGCTCTTCCTAAGTAACTCCAGTCAGCCAACAAGCAAACTTTGAACCACTGTTTGATTTGTAGAGTTTGTGGGTGGTTCTCCTCCCTGTTTTCCCAATCTGTAAAGTGAGTCAGCTCAGTTCAGTGAATTGTTTTTTGAAGGGGGTTCTACTCTGAATCTGACAGTTCTCGCAGGATAAAGGCTGCTGATACTGTAGTTGCTTTTAGGAAAACGTCACTTAAACCTGTATTGTACTGGGAAAACACTGAATGTGTTTTAAGTATAGAAGAGAAATTGTTAATAATTAGATGACAAGCATGTAAACCCGTAAGGACTAACACTAACCTTCTGTTTGAATTATTGGACAAGCCCAGATCTTTAGGGTGTCGAGCGCTATTTCACTGCCAATGGAGGAAGAGGGGGACCCGCCCAGCAAAGATCAGATCTCACTGCAAAGCGTGGAGCAGGAGGAGAGGTCAGGGGTAAAAAATATTCCTGCCGTCTCTCTCAGACGTGCTGTACTTTCACAGAGAAAAGAGAGAGGTTTTATGTGATATGTTAGAAAGAGAGATGTATGTGAAGAATGTAAGGGTGCAATAATATTTTTGCACTGTAAATGTTGTGTTTATGTTGTGTACCGGCTTCGGCAACACTGTTAATTCATCGGTCATGTCAACAAAGCTGGTTGGATTTGATTTTGAATTTGCTACAAGGACTGATCAAAGTCTGATTCCCTGTTTCTTGGGTGGAGCCCCATTCATGTCACCTCTTTATTCTGGACAGGATTTACATGGACTGCAATGCTACCACTCCCCTGGAGCCTGCAGTCATTGAGGCCATCACAGAGGCTCTCCAAGATGCATGGGGGAATCCCAGCAGCAATTACCCGCCTGGTGAGAGCAACCATCCAGTGCAGCTCGGAATTGCGAAAACGCTCTTGTGCTCTAGCCAAGCCCCGCCGAACCACACCAGGTTTCAGAAGAGCCCCACTGGGGCTGGCTCTGACACTGGGGGTGTGCTCTTCTCTGAAGGGCTGGGGAATGGGTTTTTCTACAACCTCAACACACAGGGAACCTCACTTCGACATCTCTTAGTTAAGCAGACAATTTGTCTCCATCCTCACGGGGACAGTCTGAGGTGGGGATGGAATTTTAAGACTGCCCTGCATTGGGAATTTAAAAATAATAATAAAACAAGATGTTTTGGAGTGTCAGTGATTGATACCTGTAAAATATGCTTTCTTGGTTGTATATGTAACCTGGATCACCCAGAGTTGTTCTGGAACTTCGTAAGTAATTAATAACCTTAGTTAAAGAGTAACTACTACTTTTGAAAGAGTACATGTAATAGGAATTCTACTACGTCTAACCCTAAGACAAATCCAAATGCCCCATAACTTGCATGACACTGTTAATAAGAGGGGACGTTGCATCCTGTCTCATTGCTGATTATTTTTTTTTTCTGGTACAGCAGCTTTTCTAGTGCAGTGCTGGTCATGGATCCTCATCCAAGGATTAATTAATTGAGTCTTGCCTGACTATTTAAATCAAGGAGGACAAAATGGGCTGACTGTATAATCAGCACTGCGGGGTGTCCAGCAGGGCTATGCAAATACTGCCAAAAAACTGGAGCCAGTGCAGGCAGTATATACGGTATTTTATCTGATTAGTTTGGCTCTTGAATGTCTTTTATGTTGCCTTTGGTTTTCCTAACTAACGTCGATGAGCTGAAATTAAGCCATTTCTTATGTCGGCATCTGTACAGAATTCTGTGGGCAACACCAAAAATGCAGACTTTGTTTCAATAAAACCTAAAACACTGCAGGCAACTCTGGATGCAAAAGGGTTATGTTCACTGCACCTCACCTGCTATTCAAATCTCTGCCACATCTACTGCAGCGCAACTCCAAGATATTCCACAATTCCCGAGCGGACTAATTCGTTTTGTTTTTCAGGTACCAAAGCCAAAAATATTATTAACCAAGCCAGAGAGAACATTGCTAAGATGATTGGAGGTAGAGCCGATGACATCATTCTTATGTCCGGTGGAACAGAGGTGACGTTTGCTCAGTTTCAGTTTTTGTAAGCATGATTGCTAGTGCCACTACCGAAGAGTGTTAAAAAGATGGAGATATTTTTTTAAAATGCATCAGCATGCTTCGTCTCCTAGTCAATAAAATGGAGTAAAAAGTGAAAACGTCTTCTTTTTAACCTTTGCTTTGCAGTGTGACATTGTCATGTCTGGGTTTGTAATTAGAAAAGGGTTTGTAAATTATGCATGAACCTGAAACACTCAAGGCTGTGTGAAAGTATCCAGCTGTGGTTAAGGATCAAGAGCAGCATGTCCTTCTAATAAATTATTTTTACGCTTTGTTCACAAGACTGACTAAAATTAACCCCAAATACTTGTTTTCCTAGTAACCTTCTGTAGCTACTAGAGAGGAGTCATCATTTTTTGTTTTTCAGTTGTACCAAGAGGACAAAATTTGTTAAGGGTTGGTTGCAGTGTTAGGAATTAAGCCCCCCTTTAAGATTATGCAAACTGATTGACTGTGGCCTGTTACTGAATGCCTTGCTATATTTAGACAAACATTTTCTTGTTTAAAAAAAATAGCGTTAGCACCATGTAACACACATAGATTTGACAGTTTTGATTTTAAAAAAAGCTAGTAATTCGAATTGCAAACATCAATAAATGTTATTTGTCTTTTATTAGTCTTTTGTTCAGTGTGCTGTTTTGAGGAAATGATAAGACTGAATTTCACAAACACTAAGCATTTTTCACCTAGAAAGGAGTACCAGATGGTCTCAGTCTCAGAGTGGCATAGAGATGTAAATAGGCATGAAAGTAATATTGATTTACAATGACTGTGCAAATCATTTGTAAATTTCTATTGTGACAAAATGACAGACAAACTAAGGGATGAGGCAGAGCTGTTTATGAGCCAAAACAATTTAGGAACCAATCCTCCTGCTGAAGCTTCAGTATTGTAACGCAACGGGGGCTCAGGCGGGCGCCCTTGCCGCATTAGGTCGGCCCCATCCTGACTGAGGCTCGAACCCAGGACTCCCGCGTCTCTCTGCAGCGACCTAGCCCCGTGAGCTAAAGAGAGATCTCTCTACATACAGCCCAGTAGCTGTAGTCCTGCTATCACAGGGAAGGGCGGTGACGTCACCTGCTCTGGTACGCCGGCTCTTACACACAGTGCTTGTCGGCCGTAAGCGTTACAGTATTAAATACAATCTAAACCTGAAACACTCAGGCTAGTACAGTATTCAGCACAGGACGACCACTTGGAATGTAAAAACTGGAAGCCGCTTCAATACAGGATGATCGGAATCAAATGCTTGGAATACAAAAGATGGGAATATTGTCTGTGGGGAGACTAAGAGCTCTTATGAACCAGACTCCTGGTAGACTTTTAGATCTTTCGGAACGTAGAGAAGACAGTGTGTCAACAGGTGGTTAGACAGACAGGTAGATTAAGAACCTGACTGGCCTTTTGGTGATAGCTTGGGGAAAAGTCTGTTGTTGGTGGTCGTAAAATACAAGTTGGTTCAAGAAAAAATGGCAATTCACAGAGAAAAGTCTGGAAAAATGAAATGGAAATAATTTAAAACAACCTGTCAGTGCCTACTACCAGTACTTGAGGAGGGTAGAATGTCACACTACTTAATCTTTTCAATTAAAAGCAGCAGCTCTTGTTGAACCACGTTTGAGCTACAAGTAAAACTAAAATTAAATTCGAAACACTATAATTTGGTATTGATCCATGCTCTAATGTCATGTGCCCTGTTTAACGAACACAAGTGTAGTGACAGTGTTTTCAGTTTCAGTTTTTTTTTTCTCTCTTATTGCTTTTAGGCAAATAACTTTGTCTTCCACACGGCAATAAAGTATTTCTGGGACACATGGGGGAAATCTGGGCTGAATGGAGGAAAGACAGGGCATCTAAATGCAGAAGGAGTCTTGCCTCACATCATCTCTTCCAATGTGGAACATGACTCCATCAAACTGACAGCAGACAATCTACAGAAGGAGAAGAGAGCAGGTGAGACAAGTCTGGAGCAGAACACCCCAGTTTTGTTGTGAAAACAAGACATTGCTATATAAATTCAAGCCAGCAGATATATCACTATGCATCTCACAACTTGCAGCCCACTGACACTAAGCAGGTGTGAGCCTGACCAGTACCTGGACTGGAGACCTCCATGGAAAAACTAAGGTTGCTGCTGGAAGTGGTGTTAGTGGAATCAGCAGAGAGTGCTCACTCTGCGGTCTGTGTGGATCCTAATGCCCCAGAATAGTGATGCGGACTCTCCATGGTCATTAAAAATCTCAGGGAATTTCTCAAAAAGAGTAGGTGTGTAACCCTGGGGTCCTAGCCAAGTTTCCCCCTGGCCTTTACCAGTCATGGCCTCCTGATAATCCCCATCTACTCTGTTCTCCTCTCCACTGATTGATGATGTGTGGTGCACGAACAGTGCACACTTTACCTGCTGTCGCAAGTGGGAGCTGCACATTGGTGGTAGTGGAGAGGAGTCCCCATTACCTGTAAATTCCAGTTTGCAGTATTTTTCCTGTTCATGTCTAAAAGATAGACTAGACTCTTTAAAATAACTAGGTTACAGTTAAAAAGTCATAGCTGTGTAAATTTTTTAAATTATGGAAATCTTTGTAAGGTCAGTGGCCTTCAGCAGTAATAAAAACAGTTAAACTACTAATCCCATAGAGTCTTATAATCTTTTTTTCCCTGGGGTGAGAGCTATCCTGTCGGACTGATTCGTTTGCTGTTGCAGAAGTCACATTTGTGCCGGTTTCCAAGGTGACAGGGCGAGTGGAAGTTGATGACGTGTTGGCTGCCATCAGGCCCACCACCTGTCTGATCTCCATTATGCTGGCCAACAACGAGACTGGAGTCCTGATGGTAGGGAGGGGAAGCTGCAGTTCCCAATGTGCAAACCCAGAAACAGCTCTTAGCGCATCAGGGAAACAAATAAGACTCCCAGTGCATAGCGGTTTGATCCACTTCAGGTTGTACAAGCTGCAGGATTTAATTTGAGACTAGTGACCCTTTGCCTAGACAGACATTACAACATAATATGAATATTCCTTTTCAGCACAGTTTGCAGACGGAAAGCCTGTTGCTGTTTATTGCCCAGTATTATGATCTAATACTGTAAGATGTCTAAGAAAAATATGAGTGAAGTTCAATGGTACCATTCCATGGCAAAAAGATGATAAGGAGGAGAGAGAGATGTGTTGAAAATATAGAGAGCACAAAAAGTCAGCATGGGAGAAAACATGGTTCAATAAATGCAGGTTAATGGCAGGAAAGTGTGAACAACTGTACCTCCCTTCTCTCAGCCTATCAGCAAGATCTGCAGGAGAGTTCGGGCACTGACAGAGTGCCGGTTGGAACCTAGAATCCTCCTGCACACTGACGCAGCACAGGCCATTGGCAAAGTCCAGGTGAACACTCAGGAACTTGGAGTTGATTACCTCACCATCGTTGGCCATAAGGTATGGAATAAAATGCTCATGGCTGGCTGCTCTTGAAAGCCTTCCTAACTGGTAACAATAGGAAAGTAGAGGGGTGCTGTCGGGCAGCATGTTGGCACAGTGGTTAGCACTGCTTCCTTGCAACGCTGGGGCCCTGGGTTCGAGTCCAGATCTGGGATATCTGGGTAGAATTTGTACGTGCTCCCTATGTTCACATGGTTTTCATCCAGGCGCCCCGGTTTCCTCCCACAGTGCAAAGATATGGTGGCAAGTTACTTGGCCTAGTGAGTGTGTTTATGTTCCCTGTGATGGATTGGAGTCCTGTCAAGGGGGTATCACATCTTTCAGGGATAGACTCCAGCTCCACCGGGAGCCTGAAATGGAAGAAAATTAGATGGATTAGAGTTAGAAAATGGATGGATGGATGGCATCTCTTTGCCACTGAGAAGTGTCTCATCTGGTAAATTTGGTGCTGCCTGGAGAAAGTGATGAAAATAAATGAAAGGTGAAGTGATCTCTGTGTGAGTCGCATATAATCTTATAGTAGGAACCTATCGCCAGAAATACAGGAGGAAAAATTCTTAACACTGGTTTTGAGCACCTAGCAGAGAAAGGGCACCAAGGACAGCAGTGCTTTTTAACAATTCCAAAGCTTCACTCATTAGTCTGAGTACACCGCTTATGCCTACAGTTTCCAAATCAATATTTTCGTTTTTATTGGAATTACTTTTTTTCCAGTTTTATGCACCACGGATTGGAGCACTATATGTGAGAGGTCCAGGAAGCACATCTCCTGTATTCCCTATGTTCTTTGGAGGAGGGCAGGAGAGGAACTTCAGACCAGGGTAGGTTTTTGGAATTTTGCCCTCAGAAAAACCTCAGGCTCGTTTGCAAACAACACTGCATCCTTTCCTTTCTTACATCAGTCATTTTGTTTTGCATAAGGGAAACTGTGGTTTACATGGAAATCCGTTTAACTCTGCTGCTGAAGACAATATTAGCAGGTTGTGCATACAATTGGAAGGTTTAGAGAATTTGTTTTTCTTTTTGGCAAAAGCAAAAATTAACCAGGGATACAATTAAAACCTAAATCCTGCCTATATCTATCAGGAGCTTTGGGATATTCATAGAGAGAAGCAAAAAGAATCAGCTTTATTTGGCAATGAAGTTATCAAGAATTCTCTTCAGTGCAAAGCATCTCAGAAATTTCATTCCTGCTTAAGATAATGGTAAGCACAACCAACTGATTCTTCCAAGATAAATGTGTAAACTGTACTGTGTTATTTTTGTGTTCTTTCAGGACAGAGAACACGCCAATGATTGCTGGGCTTGGAAAGGTAATGTGCCCTGCAGAAACATATCATCTTCTCCACTTTCCTTGTTTATTTTCGGACTTGAGAGGTTTTATTTGAGGACTAACGTTCTATTGAGATGTACATTACATTATATTAAAAACATACCCAAAGCACATTGGGCTCAAATGCGTGCCTAGTCTAATACACATAAAGGTTAGATATAAATTTTAAGAACAAGATAAAAATTAGAAACATACTTTAACAGAGCCGTTTGATTAGCAGCAGACGGGATGAGGTTTTTTTTATATTGCTAATACACATTTTTGTAGTCTATTGTGAACGAATTACCAGTATGCGTACGACACCTTTTATAGACCAGCCCCTGAGTTTGTGTGAGGTTTAGGCTGAGCCTTTGTTTCTCTTCCAGGCAGCAGAGCTGGTGAACCGAAACCTGGATCAGTACGAGGCCCACCTGCGTGCGACCAGAGATTACCTGGAGGAGCGCCTGGAGGTGACAGCCTGCAGCTGGAGAGTGTAGCCCACTGTCAGTGCAACACATGGAGGATGTGTCTTAGATATTTGATCTGGTGCCTCATTGCCATCTGCCTCAGTCAGGGAGATGGATATTCTGTCAGAGAGTGTATGGATCACAAAAGAAGCAGATTAGACCCTCATAGGACTCTAGAGTATGTTGATTTATTACAGTATCATGCAGCATTCGGCTTGCACCTTTTTAACTGGACAAATATCACAATCCAGCGTCAGCAGCAGCCATGTTGTGGAGGCTGGTTGCATTGGATCTTTGCAGAAAGGACTGGATGTGCTCTTTGGACCCTTAAGCTGCTAGTAACCAAGAAAGCAAGAAGAGCCGAATGCCCTCATCTCATAACCTTTATGTCCTTATGTTTTATGCTTGCTATAATTGATTTGTTTTTCTAATCATTTTTTCCTCACATTAATTCTCTATCATTTGGACTTCAGGCTGTCTTTGGGAAGGAGAAGGTCCACTTTAACAGCCATTTCAAAGGCACACAGATACTGCCAAACACCTGTAATGTCTCGTTTCTGGGTCCCAAACTGCAAGGTAAGTTGTGCGACAGGGCCTGTGCAACAATGTGAGCCGTTCTTTTTGTGTGTGCTTTTTTTTTATTTGGAGAAAAATGCTGCACTGGGCTAAAACTTAAGTCTTTAGTAGTAAATGAAAAAGGAATCTGTTTTCTGATGGATCAGGTTGAAATGAAATTCACCATGGATCCGTGTGTCTTGGGCAGGGCGGATGGTGTTGTCCCGTTGTCGCAGGCTGCTGGCCAGTGTTGGAGCGGCCTGTCACTCGGACAGAGGGGACAGGTAAGACACACCTGTCTCCCCGCCTGTCACGACTGGCAGCCCCCAGCCAGGCGTGACGTGTGTCAGAGGTTCTTGTGCTAGTTTTCCTAATCTTCGCCCTTCCGTTCCGGCCCACAGACCATCCCACATCCTGTTGAGCTGTGGTATTCCCCCCACCGTGGCCGCCAATGCCCTGCGGCTGAGCGTGGGCCGGGGCACCTCCAGGCAGGACGTCGACCGGGCTGTGGAGGACCTGAGGGAGGCTGTGCTCCAGCTGGAGGGGGGCTGCTAGCGAGCACCGTGGGAGAGGAGACAGGAGTGAGGCCTGGGCAGAGCAGGCGTCCTCACTTCATCTCACAGAGGCCTGGTTAACGGGATTGGGGTCTGGCAACTGGGACGCCAAACTTTACAACACTGGGACAATAAAAAAAAATGGGACATTTAAGGAAAACATTTTTGCATTCTGTTTTGTTGTGGCAATATCATTTATTCTCTGTTTGTGAAGGGTCAGATTTTCTCACAGCACTTTTTCTTTATTTAGCTTGTGGAATTTATGTAAAATTTGAATTCAAAGTGTATTGTTTGCATTTTAATTTATTCTTACTATTATGATGAATTGTTGAGTGGTCCTTTGTTTTATCTGTTGGAACGGTTGAGCGCAGAGTGGGTGCCTTGAAGTAATGGTGTTCAAGCAAGAAGTGCTCTAGTGGTTGTGCTTGTTTATAGTCACCTGGCAAGAAGGAGGAGAGTTGAGGTGTCTGCTGGTACAGGTCCCCTGGCCGTCATTCAGCATGAATCACCATGCAGCTCAGCTGCATCTGCAGGCACCAGCTTTCTGCAATGAGCCTTTCAGCATGCTGTTTTATGTTAAATCAGTGTTGCTGCTTGAAAGCGCATACAGTTTTGCTTACTAAACCTTGTATGTAATTCATTTTTTAAAGAGTAAAGATGAGCATTAATTTTTTAACTTGCAGGGAAATGACAAGCTGTTACACAATTTTTTAAAAAAATTTTTATCACTGGGCTAAGTCAGGTGGCCTATAATCGCTTCCTTTTGCACATGGAACAAGAAACCAGAATTGTCTTTGTTACCATTGGTGATAAACATCTGATTGTGTGACATCTGTGTAGCATTTAATTCCTACTGAAGGGAATGTGTTTTGGAAAAGAAAATGTTTACAGCTTTTCATTTTTATACAAGTAAAACAATCATTGAAGAAGACTTAAAAATGTTTTGTTTTATCTTTCATTTGGAAAAAAAAACAATTGTACATGAATAACCCTAAAGGTAACTAAACCTAGGTAGCATCAACAACAGGTAGACTGCACATGTAATGTGAAACTTCCTTAGATCTATGTTTAAACCTGGTGCTCCATCAGATTCAATTAACACATATACATATTATTTTTACCATTTTCCCATTCCAAGAAAACACATACAGTATTTTGAATTGTCTTTGAATCTTAATTCTCAATTCTTTTAATCTTAACAGACATCATGTTATCCTGAAATAATGAATAATTTTTGAAAACATGCAAATTATGCAAAAGTATGAACTGGTTGAGAATGATCCTAAAGTTAATTAATGTTAAACCACGCCAACTATAACCACTCCAACTTTCTGGTGGCCCGAGGATATTGTTTTCAATTTGACATTTTAATTGGCAGGTGTCCTAAAGTTATGTCTGGAGCTGGTCTCCTCTTGTTGCCTTGGAACGCCAGACTTTGTATGTTATAATACAATACAGGTAGCTCAGTGACCTGCGTTCCGGCTGTAGTGACTCATGTCAGTAAGAACTAAGTAGCGGAGCTTTGCAGTATACCCTGCTGTGATCTGAGATGCACCTTTATTTGGCACTATATTTAGAAACACAAATTCAGACAAAAGAAGGATAATAACCCCTATTTTACTGTTTTGGCCCCTACGTTTACCCACAAAGCTCTAAGACGGTACGTATCTCCAAGTCTAAGAGCTACCTTAGTATCTCCAAGTCCTATACGTGTCTGTGTTCGGGTCGTGTGTGTATCTTGTGATACGGGCCTGTGTGTAATTTTAAACTAGTGTGCTGTGTGTGACTGTGTTTTAATAAAGACAACAGAGGCTCTCTGGTCATAGCTGACTGCTTCGTGGTAAGGGAGGAGATACTAAACACTATGCTTTGTGCAACCAAGTGCCTTCATTACCTTTATTGCTCATCAGCCTTGACCTGTTCCTCCTCGTCACGTGGCTCCGGTATCCGACTGCTTCTCAGGTGTCCTTCCTCTGACGGAGCCACACACACCGGGAGATCAGAATCGACACCCATTGCCCACAGGCCACCCAGAGAGACTGGCAAAGATGGTGCTGCACCAGGCCATCCTGGCGTCCCGCGAAGGGAACCTCTCCACCCTGAAGGAGCTGTGCGCCGCCGGCCGCCTGACCCCCGACATCGCCGACCCCCTGGGAGCCTCCCCCGTGCACCATGCCGCCCGCTGCGGCCAGCTGGACTGCCTGCGGTTCCTGGTCAGAGAGGCGCATCTCCCCGGCAACACGAGAGCGGGCAACGGGGCCACCCCTGCCCATGATGCCGCGGCCACTGGGCACACTCAGGAGCTGCAGTGGCTGGTCAGCAATGGAGGCTGCAACTTGGAGGTGAGGCAGGCCTGGCCAAGGGGTGGACAGGTGGTCTTTTTCCTTGAATGTGTGAAATAAATCTGTTACTGTTTTATCAAAGAACGTTACTTTATACCTTCATTTTTGCAAGGATATCATTGAATCGTTATGCTCTTTCTCTTTACCCATTGTTACTGCTGCAGCTTTTTCTCAGTCAATTCTGGTATGAGGAGTAATAAGGAGATTTTCAGCTGCTGCACTTCGCGTTTGTTAAGAACTGCACACTATAGATTGCAGTACATTAAAAGGGCACGTAGCACACTGTTTCAAGTAGTTCATCTAATTTCTGAGGGGTGTTAATGTGTATTTAACACTATTGCATGCAATGCTTGTACTGGGGCATCATTTCAGGGTCCCGAACAGTTTCAGAAAAACTAGAATTTGTGACAGTAATGGAGACTTCATTAACTCAAGGCATGCTTCAGATATCATTTACATTCCACCTGGGCAATTAGGCTGTTTTTTTATCAGCTGCTTTTCTAATTAACTAATGAGTTAACACTTTATAAGGAAGAAAGGATCCTTTGGTCTGTATTTTTCCACAGGGAACATGATGCTCTAAAATGGATTACAATATGTTAAATACAAACAATACTTGGGGGTCAGATCTTGACATAATTAATCACTTTGAAATTGTGTTACCTGTGTCAGAAGTTCACAAGTCCTGCTTTAGTCTTTTGTGCTTGTTTTTTCCTTGGATGTATTAAAGATGATCGTGTATATTTTGGTAGAAAACTTATTATATGAAACTTGTCTCACTGGCTTCAATCCTGATGAGGCCAGTAGCCATAGAGCTGTGGTCTTCATCTTTTAAAATGATTGTCCATTGTTAAGACTCAGAAATTCTCAGGTATTTTTTTTATTTACAGTAACGTCCCTGACCCTCTGTGGTTCCATCAGTACCATTTTGTATTAGTGATCCTTTGACTGCCTGAGCTAGTTAGGATGCCTTAAAAAGATTAAACTCCATTGTTAAATTATTGCAATTTACCACCACAATGTATTTTTTTGAAGAGCTGTGAGAATACCATCTGAGTCAAAAGTAAATCTCATGAGCAGCATTTCCTTTCAGACAGCTGAAAAGGAGAATTCTCTAAGCGTACCTTTCTCTAGCTGAATAAAACTGCCGTAACAGCAGGCGTTTTGTGGCAAGAGGGATTGTGATTCCGGTTCTTGTATGATGTGAATGAGTGTGAAAGAGAGCAATGCTGCAATTGCGTTAGCTGGAGCATAGCTGAGCTCTGTGCTGAGGAAGGGCACACAGGACAGGTGGGTTTCCTGTGATCGTTCAGGGCATCTTGTGTGTGCCTCAGGACTGGGACAGTGCAGGGGCCACCGCCCTACACCTGGCGGCACGGTTTGGCCGAGTGGAGCTGGTCCAGTGGCTGGTCTCGGCAGGAGGAAGGGCAGACGTGGAGACCAACTGTGGGGCACTGCCAGCCCACTATGCTGCTGCCAAGGGGGACCTGACCTGTCTGAAGCTGCTGCTCAGTCAGGCACCAGGGTAAGATCTCCGCATATCACTCACAAGCAACAGCAGGTGCTTTTCATACCAAACACCATAAAATATCACCCTGAGAGCGTGTTTCCTGAAAACAGGATATCATTTGCATTTTATTGAGGTACACCTGAAGAAGGCTCCACAGCCAAAACATTGCGTCTCTTTTCTTTTCCTTTCCTTTCTGCATGGAATTAACCTTTACCTGTTCCATTTTATGCTATTTAAGGGTAACGCAGTGGGTTCGATTGCAGAACAGGGGTGCTACCTGGGTATAGTTTGTTTGTTCTCCCCATGTTCAGATGGGTTTCCTCCAGGTGCTCCGGCTTCCTCCCAAAGTCCAAAGATATACTGGTAGGTTGTTTGGCTTATGGGGAAAAACGGGCCCTGGTGTGAGTCTTTGTGTATCTGAGTGTGCCTTTGCTTTCCAAGATGGGCTTCAAATAACCCAGGAGCTCAAATATGTTGTATATGGGGCCCTTGAAAGTTTGTGGGTAAATCAGCAAAACCTTACCCGCCTCCACTGTAGACTTAACTCTTAAGCGATCAGTCAGTGACTTTAAGAATTTAAAGGGTCAATTGAATAATTACATTTTATTCATTATGGGACTGTGAAAGATAACGCTTAATTGCTGTAGACAGACAACAGTCTAGGACTATCAACCCCAGTATATCCCATTTTGTGTCTGCCAGCAGCCCATTCCTGCTGCTATTGCAGTTAAATTGAGAGATTGAACAGATCATAATCTGTTTCTCACTAGTAGGTGAGCTGAGATACAGGTGAGATTACTACTGTCAGTTTTGTGTGGTGTTCTCTTAAAGTCTATAAGATTTATTGATTCTTAGTCCTTGGATACCAATACTAAACCTAAAAACATCAGTATCAGAATAAATAATGAATTTGTTTCAACCCTTTCTACTCATATTTAAAATGCATTCTTTCACACTAAACATCAAACATAGCATCAAAGAAAATGAACCCTACCACTTATGTTGCATGTTATGTATTATGTGCTTGTTAATTTTTTATTTCTACTTTTATTAGTTTTGAAGAGATGGCAGATTAGTGTTGTATTCCTGTGTATTTATTATTTATGGATAGCCCAGGCTTGACCTTTTTGTAGTTCCTGTCTTGTGTTTTAATTAAGATTCCTTCTTGCTTCTTTCTTTCACTTAAGTGGGGAATTGTCTTAAAACCTTAATTCAGGCTCAGCTCAAAGAACTATGTGGCATGTATGCAGAGGTCAAAAGGGAATTTCTCTGCAGAGCTCTGCTGTGTTTACAGTAAAACAAACTGGAGAAACATTCAGTGAAAGGAAAACCAGTTCGTAAGTGCTGCAATTTATTAAAAATCAGTAAGCTCTCTGAAAATCTGTGGTTTTTGAAGAGGGTAACATTGATTTCATTGGAGAGTAGTGAACCCATATGACTGTTTTTAAACTGTAAAACTGATGCAAGTGATATGTTTGAAGCTCAAACCTAAAACAAAGGATAATAGTGGTGCCACACTTGTATTTCTTAGATTGCCCCAATATACACTGATGATAACCAGCATACGATATTACGGAAGTATGAACATCTTGTCACTAGATCTTTAGTTTTGTATCCTCGTTTGGGCAGCACTTGAACGCACTGTTAAAGATCTCTTGTCTAAATGATTGTGCTTTCTAATGGTGCTTTTACATTGAACACCGTTTCAGTTCCACCCATCAATAAACACTTTTTCTGAACCCTGTCAACACCAGTGAGATGCATGCTGAAGTGCTGGATAGAAAAAAAGGAAGATGTTGAGTCATTTTTTTTCCGATCCTTTCCCAACCCCTTCTGTGACCCTCTCACAGAGGTCGAGAAAGGCCTCAGCTGAGTACCTGTTGACAATGGCTGTATTGTGGAGCATGTGGGAAGCACGCAGATCCATGGCGCCTTGGCATTCAGGGCAGAGAGTGGTGTGTGCTGGTCTATTATTAGCTCAGCTCTGACAGACAGCTTGTCACACAGATCAGGGCTCGATACTGAGGCTTAAATACCTGCAGATCGCTGGTAACGAACTGTGCCAATCGTATGAGTTTCATAGGGAAACTCAACCTGCTATAAACAGGTGCCATCCAGATGCTTTCTATCATCTTTGGATGGAAATGAGCTCTTTTTTGTATTTGTATTCCTTAGAAATGATGTTAGGATGACCTGGTTATCATTTGCTGTGAGCTAAACCTCAAATGTGTATGGATTGCACAAGTATAAAGGCTACAGAGTAAGGCATGATATCTCCTTAGACTGAATTAAGATATCTTTTTCAAGAGATACCAAGGCAGGGTTTGTAGGAATAAACATTCCTAGTGGAAGAAATAACAATAGGCAAGGTCAGTTTGTGTTTTGCAGTGACTACTGTGTAGACTCCCACAACTTTCCGATGTTTACATTGTGGACCGGGATTCAGCAGAAAGAAAACACTATTTAAAATGCAGTAGCCTTTATCCTAGATTAGGGAATTAGTTTTGAATGTGTGGTCCGGTTGGAGTCTGCCACCTACTGTTCAAACAACAAACCTGAGAGAAGCAAGCTATCAGATCTTCCTCATTCAAGTACTGTCTGGGCCCAGCTATACCAAGACATTGAACTCTGATGAGGGATCAGGCATCAGGGTATTTAAGTAGCTGTCAAATTGTTTACATCCAGTTATTTAGCAATGTTTATCTCATAGACATACCCTTAAATACCCTTCGGATGAGATGTAAAACCGAGGCCTGACTCTCTGTGGTCATTAAAAATCCCAGGGCGTTTCTTGAAAAGAGAAGGGGTGTAACCCTGGTGTCCTGGCCAAATTTCCCATTGGCCTGTACCAATCATGGCCTCCTAATAATCCCCATCTACGAATTAGCTTCATTACTCTCCTCTCCTCCCCACTGATAGCTGGTGTGTGGTGAGCGTTCTGGCGCACTATGGCTGTCGTCGCATCATCCAGGTGGATGCTGCACACTGGTTGTGGTGGAGGGGAGTCCCCATTACCTGTAAAGCACTTTGAGTGTAAGCAATTATTATTATTATTATTATTAAATCAAAACAGTCAACAGCTAAAACATAAGGATCTAGTGTCCTTTAAATACAGTGTATAATGTTTTTATCCATCACAAGAATAGAAATCACAAGATGGGATATCAGCCTTTGATTGTGACAGGCCCCACCCTAAGTTCTGTGCACATTAAGAACTCACAGTAACTAAGGAAGTGCAGTTAAAAAGTCTTATGATAATATCCACACAAATACATTCATTCTGCTATTAAATTTACCCAATAAACACTAATACCATGAGAGAACATTACATGCCAAACATTACTAATTGACCCCCATGTGAGAATTTTACTTCTAAACTCTTCAACAATTATTGAATTAATTATGTGCCATCCAATGAGACTATTCACAGGCAATAGAGCCCAGAGCCTTAAGTGGCAGGTTGATTGATAAAAACATCCGCTCAAAGACTGGCCTTCCACAGCAATATTGATAATTACATTTAGTTTCTCTCTCAATAGTGTATCAGTCTTTTTTAAAGTGTCTAACCAGTCTTAAGACCAAGGTTCCACTCTGGAGCTATTCCATAAAAACATATTACACTCTGTTAAAATGGGAAAACGTGAAACATGGAACATGAAACACCATCAAATCTTATCACTTTCTTTAGTTTCTTACAAACGGCCTAAGTTTCTCTTTTACCGAGAGTGGCAAGCCGGCAATACATACAAAAATGTTTGAAGATAATATATGAATGAAGACTGAATGTTATCAGTGAAACAGAGGAGGATAATACCAGAGTAGCAACATGTGGGAGCTAAACAGACATCATCTATTATAGATGGGACACTGGATTGTGGTATCTGACAGATGTCAAGGGATAAAAGCACAGCAAATTTGTTGCAGGCTTTTCAAAAGAATAATGCATTACACTGTGACTATTCACTTTCCCATCATTTTGAAGACCACTCCAATTGTGGTCACGAGCTGGCTGAATTCCAGCTTGGCAAACGTCCAGTTCTTCAGTCGTATCAGAATGAAGCTCCCCTCTGTGGAAGGGGGTTCAGTATACTGTACAAAAAGTACTGTACTTGTACTAGCAAAAGTATTCTGACCCTCGTATAGGTTTCACATGTTGTTGCTTAAAAGAGCATAGTCATGACACTTTTAAGTAGCAATAAATATTTGCTACAAAGATTAACCTGTTCCACACATTCAAGACAAAAAAAAATGCAAATAGATAAATGATTTGAAAGAAAGATGAAAACAAGTCTTTTGAAGTCTTCAGTTTGAGAATTCTGGCTTTGAAAAAAATATTAAGATTAAAAAAACATTTTGTAATTGTGTGTAGGGTCACTGTTGGAAAGGTCTGAATGCTTTTGCAAGGTACTGTAGTTTAAAATGGGGCCGTGGTGATGGAGTGAGTAGCACAGCTGCCTCTCAACTCCAGTTCTCTGGGTTGAAATCTTAATCTGTTTGTGCAAAGGTTGCATATTCTCCTTGTATTCACATGAGTTACACGTGACACACTGTCCAGGTTAACTGGCATCTTTAAATTGCTTCCCGTGTGTGTCCGTGTGCCCTGCAAGGCACTGGTGTCCTGTAGCAAGGGCATTGTCCTGCTTTGTTCCCTGTGCCTGCTGGGTTAAGCTCTGGTTCAACACAACCTTCTAAGGATAAATCTGTTACTGAAAATTGCTGCATTAATTAATAGTGTTAGTTTGTTTAACAATTGTTTAAAAGCGAATTCTTCCAAAAACAAGTTCTAGAATGCAGAAAAATGGACTGCTGTGTGTTCATGACCTAATGCAGTCAATGTGAGGTGTGCATAGCTGTATATATGTCTTGTGAACTCGAATTTGTCTTCTCTCAGATATCTGCACATTCTGAGCCACACAGCTCCTCCTTTAGTTGTGAACTTACCTATACCTAAAGGCCTGCCCCAGCATTGCTTGAGGTCTCAAGGGTTTTGAGGTTGTTTAGAGGGTTACATCACTGGCTCAAGCCCAAGGACCAAGTGGGCTGTGTTACACATACACCACAGTGCAAGGATTAGTGGCACATGCTTGCATAGGATTTCAAAGGTGGGATTTATTTGGCTCTGGCTCTATTAATCAATCAGAGTGCTGCCTTGGAGACAAATGTTGACAGTGCTACAGGATTCTGGGTTTGAATCCAAGATCCGCCAGAGAAGGCTGGGATTTTTATTTAATGAAGATTCCACTGGAGTGTATTGGGTGTCAGCGTTCAGAGTTAGAGAGTGCAGGCAGAAGACTAGTTTACAGAATGGAAAAGAAACAAGAAGGTTTCGCTCCTTCAGTAATGGCATAAGATGAAACGAGGATCCAAAAACAGTTTTGTGGTGATAGCTAAGAAATATTATATATCCATATTGTCCATCTTTATTACCATTAGTTGCTGTGACCATCTTTACCACTGTGCCAAAGTATATGAACATTATGGACATGTAACTTTAGGAGGTATAGTAATAAAGTCTATTATGTCATTATTGAAGTTATTTTATTATTAGTTCATTATCGAAGAGAAGTAGTTCAGTGCAAATGTTATTCACAGGGCTGTTTAGAGCTCCTGTAACACCATGACCGATGAGTCAATTGTCCGATCTGCAGGTTGGACAACTGAGCCTGGCAACTTGGTCAGGCAGGTTGTCAGTCCCACCTGCCTGTAATTAAACAGCACTCAGCTGTTTTCCAGCTGGGTATTTATTCCTTCTGGACCGGGATTACAATGCTCAGTTTTAGCACTAGAGCCTGTGGCTCAGCTCGTTTCTCTTGCTGTTTTCTTACGTGTTTGGAATTCTTGTCTGGTTTAACTCCACACCTGTCCCCTTCACCATGCTTCCTTAGATTGCTTATAATCTAATTCCTGTCGTCGACCCAGATTGCTCGACTTTGTGAACCCTTTCCAGTGTTTGGACCTCTCACCTTCTCAGTCATCCCGCTTGGATTTCCCCTTTTGTGCTTCTGCCTGTATTCATCTCTGTGGCTTGCCTGCAGCTCTGCGATGTCTGCGCAGCTGCATGCTGCATGCTGCCTGCGCGTCTGCCTGCCCTGCCTGCTTGCCTGCCTGCGACTTGCTCCCACACCACTGCTGCCTGTCGCCGGCTTTCCTGGTTTGCACCTGTCTTCTCCTCCATAAGGTTCCTTCTTCGAATCTGGATCACTGCCCCCTGCAGGTTCAGTGGTCAATTACAGGATTATGGGTTTTTATATAAACTGTAACATGGGATGATATTTTTTACTTTTACCAGGGATCAGTTCCAGTCGGGACCTGTCCATCCTGTCAGATTCTTGAGCTGCTGAAACAAACAGTGGTGACCCAGTACAGTTTTAACCTGACCAGATGTCGTTAAGACAGAACAAGGCATTCACAGGTTTTTGTTAAATGTCTGTGCACTGCTGTAATCACTTACCCTTGCTGTATATTTGCAGTTTTGTTATGGCCTTCTGAAGCTATTTTGGTTGAGAGATCAATAGAAATGTTCAGTCCAAATGTGTAAAAAATGAAGGAAGAAAATCCAGGGTCATACAGCTACAAAATTAATGCACCGACTTCACATTGAACATGACTTTTTAAGAGATTCCACATCTTTTACAAGACATAGATACGCCTTCCATTATTTCAGAGAATATGCTTTATGTAAGCAGCTATAATATTAGATAGTATACATATTGAAAAGAAAGCCGGTGTATTGTTTCCCAAAATTTTACAGTGGAATTGTGGCTGAAGCCTGGAAAATGTAAAAAACAGGAAAGGCCAGTGTCATACAGACTTATTCTTCATGACAAAATCAAAGCACTGAGAAGGGTCATCAGTAATGTTTATGATGCACAACCCTGTGACTCGCAGCCATTGTTAAACTAGACAATGTGTACCAAGTCAAGTAAAAGAAATGAAGCAGAGGCATCTAAGAAATCAAAGTGACCACAGATGAGAGGAGGCTTTCTCGACTGAAAATGAACAGAGCCTGATAATGTAAACCTGGAATAAAAAGAACCAATTGCCTAGTTATTTTTGTTCCTTTATTTTGCCAGAAAAGGCAATAGACAACAAAATCTCATTTACAATGACAACATGAAGAGACATTTGTACAGCAGGGCATTACTGTAGCAGTTTAAGTACCTTTATTTTTACTTATGATCTCTGACCCTCTACCCACTCGTCTGGTGCCCAGAGCTGACCCACAACTCCACACTGCTGCCTATGTCCCATGATATTATAGACCTATAAGAAGCCACGGTTACTTGTATGTGTATATATGTCCTTGTGAGTTCTGCTAGTTGAAATCATTGATTATTTTTTTAATTATACTTTCAGTACATTGTACATTTCTGCTCCGACACAGCAAAAAACATGATCTGCAATGGTATTTAGCTTTTACCAGAAGAAAGTGCCAGCATAAAAAGGTTTGATCAGTTTCCCAAGTATACAGTACATGTGCAGCGATCGCAAATATTTTTGGTATAGTTTGTTAGCAGAAGAATTGCACCTCCAGTTCCGGAAGAATGTTCTTTCTCGCTGGATTCCCCTGGATAGCAGGATTGCTGGGTGGATGGAGGCTCCAGCTGAGAAATGAGGCGATGAGAACTACTTGAGTACTGCTGCACATTTCACAAAGCTCTGATCTGCCTGACCATCTCTCTCTCAATTCAATTCAATTCAATTCAAGGTGCTTTATTAGCATGACCGATAGGTACAATCAGTGTTGCCAAAGCAAATAAAAAATAATAAAAATAATAAAATTAACATAGAACAAAACAAAAAATAGAAGTAAAATAAAATCTACAGACATGTTACAGACATTTACAACAAAGACATATTATATAATATC